CACATTAAGTACCCGAATAAGTAAGAAAAAGACCGGAGGTTGCGATGAAGTATTTTATTTATTATGCACCTACATGTATGAAGGTCGTAGGGTCAATGGGTTTGTACACAAAATGACATGTATTTTGTTCACTGGCATAGAGGTATTTTTATAAGTCCCAAATTTCCTAAATCATGAAGCTGTTATGTCATTTCGGCGAAGCGATTTCTCGATATCTTCTGAATTAAAGATAACACAGAAAAAAAAACTTAACCATTGTAGAGAGCTTGGTTTTTAATAATCTGCACCTGGTGTTTAGGGGCTGGGGACGGTAGGAATTTGCAGTCGATCCAGTCCATTTAATTGCTTATCTGTTATTTTCCCCTCAGCCTGGGTGAAAAGGTTATACCCCACCCTCCTAAAAATCAAACTTCTTGATGTATTGCCTTCAACGGCTGCCACCCCCCCCCCCGCCGCCATTTTATTCTCAGCCTGCTGAATATTGTACGACTCTGCAATGAGATATTTCTAATATTCTCCTTCAATCAACAGACATAACTAAAAATTTTCACCCGTCCTCCATATTCCGCCACCAGTAGATGTCCTCTATGGTCAACGGCCACAGCCACTGGCCGCTCAACTTGAGGTTTACTAACCACGTGTCTCAAAAACTGACCATCCGAGTCCAAAGTGACGACCCTGTGGTTCCACTGGTCTGCAATGAAGATGTGTCCAAAGTTGTCCGTGCACAGTCCATAGGGGTGGTAGAGCTCTCCGTCCCCGGAGCCTTGATTGCCAGGGTGCCCATACTGAAACACAACATGACCCTGGGGTGTCACTCCATATACACAGTGTTCGTTACAGTCACTCACCACAATGACGTCATTTGCTGGAAGAACTGCAATGTAACAAGGGTCTCTGCAGGCAAGAAGCCTGATCTTTTTCATCAGACTATATTTGACGGAGTCGTACACACAAATGTGTTTATCGGTGTTTCCCACATCACAGACAAGTATGTTTCCGTGGTTGTCCACTGTAACACCCCATGGCTTGGACATATCGCTCTGACCAAATGTGTGGATAAGTTTACCATAGGTAGTATACACCCGGCATCCATCCTTACATGTGACTACCAGCCTGTCGTTATTGAGGACAGTGACACCCCTGGGGTCGGGGATATGAACATGAAATAACGCCTCGCCAGATGACGATGTTGCCTCGAGTTTACCGCGAAGGCCAGAAACCAAATAAACATCCCCGCTGCGACAGCATGTGATGTTCCACAAACTTGACAACTTGCAAGTGAATCTGCCTACCAAACACGCAGTCTGCAGCCACTTTGCCGATTTTACTTGTTCTGTTGCTTCAGAGCAAACTTGCTCACATGGTGCACATGGTGACATCTGGGGAGCCGGCTGTATCTCTTTCAGAGTTCCTAAGACTGGAAGAGTTCCTCTGATGAAAATCAGCTCAGTGGTTTCGGTTGGTGGGCTGGGAGTTAGATTCTTCATCTCTGTCATTCTGACCTGTATATTCTTAGCATGTGCCATCACCTCTGTGTCGGTTCCATGTTGGAGAAGCTGCTTGGCAAACCCACACACGCTGTCAATGGCTACCTTCTGCAGGTGAATGCGATCTTTTTCAGACTGAAGGATCTCGATTTGAGCTGTGGCATGGGCCTCTGCCTTTCTTGTTAATTCATCATAAGTGGTGTCCAGCTCTCTTTTAGTTTCTAAAACTTGTTGTTGCATGATCGACATTACATTGCTTTTGTTATCTTCAGTATCGTTCTGCAGTTTGTTTAGTGCCTCCTCAACATTTTCAAATGTATGCACATTCTGAAGCAGAACTTTAATGACTTCTTCTAACATCTCCTTCTGTGCAAGTGATTCACCTGCAATATCCACACAGTCGTGAAGTTTGTGTTTTGTGACAATGCATTCCCGACATACAACAGTGTCGTCATCTTTACAATAGAATGCCAGCTTCTCTCCCTCGTGTTTCTCGCAGAGCAGGGTCGCGTCGACGAACGCTTTAAGCTGCTTGCTGAGTGCCCCTGTGTGAGTGTGAGCTCTGGTCAGTTCCGACACGAGGGTCAGTCTGTGTCCACCTAGAATCTTCATGCAGTTATGCTGTTTGTCTCGGCAGTTTCGGCAAAAGAAGTACCTGCAATCTTGGCAGTAAGACTCGGCAATTTGCGACTCACAATTTCCGCACGTTTCACCTTCGGTCGCTCTTGTCAACACCAAGTCCTTCGCCTTGGTCAAGAAGAAGTTCCGGTCAAGTTTCTCCAGTCCACCTGCTGGAACGGCGGTCCCGTGGTCGCAAACTGGACACTTGATGCGGCCCTCTCCCGTCCCATCCGCTGCCACCTGCTGGGCTATGCAACCCAGACAGAAAGTGTGGTAACATGGGAGGACGCGCGGGTCGGCAAACTCGTTACCGCAAACGTGACATGTCGGAAAATTATCACTGCTGACATCATAGAACTCTGCAGAAGCCATCACGTAATAAAATGTGTTGCCAGATTGAGTCTTAGTCGCCAAGTTAGCAGATTTGCCCTACATTCTCTGATGAACTCTGCACCTGTATAGTTTCGTATACTGATGTGTCGGATCACGCTACATGAATAAGTGACTGATTATTTTTCATGTTGTTTAAAACGTTTAAAATATTCCCTACATTCTCTGATTAATGCCGCAGCAGTAAAATTTCACGTACCAAAAATGGATTAGATCACGCTACCTGACCGAGTGTCTGATGCCTTTTCATGCATGTTAGGTTGACATGTTTATACAGGGGGCAGTTAGGGTGATTTCAATCAAAAATTATGCTTATACAACTATATAGCCTAAATTCTATATTTTTCATTTCACTTGTTTAAAAGTCTGAAAAGTCGAGCATGACAGTTTGCGACAAAAGTGAAATTAAAAAATTGAAAAAGGTTTGTGTGCGTGTGTTTTTGTTTATATGTGTGCCTGATCATGAGAGAGAGAGAGAGGAGAGGGCTAATAACGGCATTTAGGTGAATGTATTTTTTAAAGAGTCTACGTAGCTTATCTCTGATCTTCAGATTTTCGGATTGTTTACCGTTTTGTGACTAAGTGAAGTCGTTATTCACCTTAGGGAACCAGCCTAGACAAAAGCGCCTTTTTTCTGTCATTCAAAATGATAAACAGTTTAGGGGCATTAAGAAATCTAAAAAATGTGACACAACCCTTCCTCAACAGGTGACTTTTTTGTGCGTTTAGAAAACAGACTATTTAAACGTTTCATGTTGCAAAGTAAACCATAAACAAAACTAACAATCCCTCGCATTGCATAAGAAATAAGACACTGATGATGCTATTGACGGGCTGTACATAGTGAGAACCTTAGAGCGGATCCAGAAAATGGAATTGGAATTTATATTTTATATTATATTTTCTTTATATCTTATTTACCTTTGCCTAAGGTTTTGCTCAGTATACTTCGCTTTAACTTAGTTTAAGGTGCATTTTAACAAGAGTGCTTCACCTGCTTAACCTTAGTTGTGTAGGTCTATATTTCAAAATTCCATTTCACGGACAGTCTTAATTACAAGTCAGGAATACGCTGTCGTAGGCTACTTATAACGTGATGAGAATCCCGGTACCCTGAGGTTCAGAGGTCCCTGGGAACCCGCTACTCCACCGTCAGTCAACTGCATGTTGAGAGTAGAAACATGAGTTACTATGTACCTCTAAATAACCCAGGATGTGTAATACCAGGCATGTAGGCCTACCGAAATTGTGATTTTTCTCTGTAAAATGAAGGGGGAGGGCAGTTAATAAAGAGCAGTGGTTATGTAATGTTGTATGAGGATGTTACGGTTTAGGATCAGGTCCATGTTACTAGCCAGGCCCGTAGCCAGCAAATTCAAAAGGGGGGGGGGGTCTTTTTCTGAAAAAGTGGACCTTTTACAAGAAAACTTATGTGTACCTAGATAAAATTTTACCCAAAATGGACCTTTTCCTGACAAAAGGGGCGGTTCTTTCGAACCCCCCCCCCCCCCCCCCCGGGCTACGGGCCTACTAGCTGCTAATTCAGTTATACAGTATATTGTTAGCAGCGACAGTTCTACTGACAGGTGCCCCTCTCTCCTCCTCGGTGTAGGGAGACAAGGAGGTGGAAGGCTTAAATTGTGTTAGGTGTGAGAGCAGCATTGTGTGACAATACCCACGAGGCAATCCCGCCGATTGTATCAGTTGTATTGGAATATAATATTAATTGCCATATTTCAAAAACGTAAATAATATAAATTTAACAAGTGTCCTTTAATATACAAACAAACAAACAACAATAATAATTATAATACTAGTAGATCAAGGTAGGCCTACTCGCACGCGCCTGAGAGAGACGTGAGGCCTACAAATTAAAACATACAAATTATTAATACCTAACCGGGCTAACCCCTTTTTGAAATCTCCATAATTTTATGTTATTTTGACAAAGAAATGATCAAGAACTTCATCTAAGTATCACTGAAGTTTGAGTGTTCATTTTGGCAGTACAGTACGTTAATTGTATGGACAAAGAAAAAGAGGAAGGCCGGTCAAACGATGGAGGGATGAATTAGATATGACTACTGGAAGTCTTGGAAGAAGAAACCTTGGCCAAACTGGAAATCCGAGGCTCAGGATAAGAAACAATGGAAAAAGCATGCTGAGGCCTTTGTCCAACAGTGGAACACTATAGGCTCTAGATGATGATGACGATGATGTACGTTAATTTAATGCACTAAAATCAGAGCCAATTTCTATAATATTTTAATACTTAAAAGTTTCTTACCGGTTGATTTGTAAAAAAAAATATATCCATTGCCAAGAGAATAGTGAAGAACATAACATTTTTTGTCAAGAAACTATACAAAGACCCAAATGAGCATTAATTATGAAGACCAACATAAGCTCGCTGTTTGTGCACAAATCAAACAGGACCACATGAATCTAGCAGCCTGTTTCACACGCTCCAATTTAGAAAGATTTGATTGGTCCACGCAACGTGGGCAAGCAAGATGGCGGATGCCGGCGTGAAACCTGAGGTGAAGAACCTGCTAACAAACCCGAGTGGTTGGACCAGTTTACTGACTTTCTTTATTTTATCTCTAGCATGCCTGGCAGGGTTTAGCTCCAGGCTTTTTGCCGTAATTCGTTTTGAGAGCATCATTCACGAGTTTGATCCATGGTAAGTCATTGTTTGGGGGTACAATGCGCTTCGATTTCCACTAGGGTCTACGACAACAACTTCCCCAATGCATTGTTGCATTGAATTGCACAAACCATTTGTACTCAAGCTGAAGTCGGGTCGACTGGGGACTCAGCGTATATAACAGTTTAAATTTTTTATAAGATGACAGAGTAAATGCCATTGTGAAAGTGTCATTTGTTAAGGGCTAAATAGTAAATGGACGTCCACATGGGTTGGAAGGAAAGCCTTACCTGTGACTGCAAATTAGCCCCAACATCTGAGTCAATCAGGTCACCAGAGAGTGATTGCACCTATGGCACCCACGTCTCCTCCTTCCTCTCTTGTTTCTACTTACTCTGCACAATATTCAATCATTCAAAAAATTTTGACAGAACTAATTGGTTTAGTAATTGCTTCTACCAAACATAAATTTTTATCTTTTGGTGAGGTCTTCTCCAGACAATATAATAATCACTTCTTCTCTCTGGTTAGTGCTTAAAAAACTTTTCAAGTCCTAAAATACCCTCCAGTTAAAAATGCTTTATTCTTTTCTTTTATTAGTTTTTTAGTGATCTAAGTCCATGGTGAAAACCCTGAATGAGTGGAAAAGTCCTGGATATGTCTATAGGACACTACTTCTACTTTTACATTTATATGTGTTTAGTACTTAGGCTTGAGTCACATAAGATGTCACTGAAGTAAAAGCAAATTGTGCTTGTATGATAGTGTATAATCAATGAAATTCTAAAAGAAAGAGCAAGGCCTTTTTAGCTGGAGGGTAATTTTGGACTTAATAAGTCTTTAAAGCTATTACCAGAAAAAAAAGAAGACGCTAGTATTGTCTGGTTGGTGTCTGCATCCTGATAAACATACAGTTATTTTATAATATTCTAACACCTGAGGCCAAAAATGAATAATAATAAAAAAATGCATGGAATTAAAAACTTATTAAAAAAGGCAATCTTCTTTTTATTTTTATAATCCCTGTAAATTCTATTATACATTAATATTATGCTAAATCTTAAAATCCTGGATTTCTGTCAACTTCAAATAAAATTAATACATTCAATTTGGCTATATATTGTTATGCAGGTACCAGCAAAATTGTAGCATTAAGGTAATGCATTATGTGCTCGCTTCAATTATCATGATAATATTTTTATGTCATCAGTATGTGGGCAAATGCTCCAGATGAATATAATTTTTTACATTGGATGTTGACTTGCTAGTGCTGATGTATGGGGAGTAGGGGTGGGGAAATTCTGACTTCTTTAAACTGCTGTTATTAATCATGTCAATCATTTTTTTTTTCAATTTATTGAATTAAAAAATATGATTTTATTTTTTTAATTGCTTTATTTAGAATTTACTTTTTAAAGATTTATCATTTTCAAAAATTCACTTCCATACACTTTCTGATATGAAGTAGCATTACTTTTCATATATTTAAATCAGCACTTGTATATTCAGATGCTCTGTGTTGGTTGTAGTAGTGGTGGTGTTAAGGGGGGGGGAGGGCCGTAAATACATGTTGCTCCAATATATGGTGTGCTAGTAATTGTCATATTTTTGTTGTGCTCATAGGTTTAACTACCGAGCCACACACTACATGGTCACCCATGGCTTCTATAACTTTCTCAACTGGTTTGATGACACAGCTTGGTATCCACTGGGCAGGATTGTTGGTGGAACGGTACGTACTGGTCAGAATATTATCTTTAAATGTAAAGGAATATGTATGAAGATGAGAACTTGTGTTTGCCACTCTGTTAATTTAGTATTTTTAGAATAATGATATACATGATACACTGTTTAAAATTTTGAAAAATTGTTGAAAAAAAATCTCATCTAAAAAGTTCTTAATTTACTCGTTGCTCACTAGGCATATGGAGAAAAAAACTAACATGAGTCTAGCTTTTAGGGTGAATCCTCTCTGTATACATCACATTTGAAATGTGTTGGTTACATCTACATATGTGAATCATGTGGGCCATACAATTTTTTATAACAAACCACATGAAGCGAGTGTCAGGGCGTACGTGGCTTGATTTATATATCAGAACTGTATCATAATGAAAATTAATGGTTGATCTGGCCCTTTTAATTTTCAAAATAATAATGATGATAATAAAGTTGTGACATACATACACTGATGTTTGAAAGACACATAGTCTAGAGCAGAGACAGTCAGTACAGGTGGAGGAATGGGGCTGTTGCAAAAGTCAGAAGGTTCAATAGTCTGAAGGTTTATTGGTCTGAATGTTCGCTATAGAACCTACGGACCAATGAATCCTTAATTAAGAAAAGATGATAAAAACGTGACCATTTTTCAGACCAATGAACCTTCGGACTATCGAGACACTCCCGGAGGAATATATCAACTTCAGGGTTTAGCTCTGCCCTATTAATTTCACATTTTCATAATTATAATATTTAACCTAGTTAATTTTGGTTTCAGGTGTACCCTGGCCTCATGGTCACCTCTGGTACAATCCACTGGCTGCTCAATCTCCTGAATATCCCTATTCACATCAGAGATATCTGTGTGTTTTTAGCTCCCATGTTCAGGTAAGGATGTGTTCACATTGGAGCTAACTTAGGCTTGAAGTTGACTTAACTGCATCACTATGTCACTGGTAAAGACACCATGAGTAGATAACAATGTTCAAAATAGTAGTAGTAGCTAGTAAGAGTAGTAATAGTTATAATAGTAGTGATAATAATAATAATAAGAAAAAGAAGAAGAATGACATCAAAATGTCACATTTGCCAGGTAATAACAGTGAAAAAGATATTAATATAACAGGTTCTAATACATGATATGATACAATGATTAATGAGATTAAATGTGTACATTATTCTCGTCTCGGGTTGTGTAGCAGAATTTATTATAAGTCTGATTTACAAAAATATTTTGAAGGATACAAATGCCACAATAGCTGTTATATTGCATGCAGCATGGCAGTTTAAAAAGATATGAATATTAATTTAACTTTGTTTTATATTTATATTTATATATTTATATTTATATTCCAGTGGGTTGACTGCCATAGCCACTTATCTTCTCACCAAGGAATTGTGGAGTGCAGGAGCAGGGCTGTTTGCTGCCTGCTTCATAGCTATAGGTAGGGGGAGGGTGACTGGCCTGTCTGTCAGTACAGGAGATAGAATTACAACATTTAAATAATTAGAAATAATAAGAGCATATGTAGTGCATTCCAAACAAGCATTAATTTTGTGATGTAGAGGGGAAGTATAGTTGGCCTGTCCATCAGTACAGGAGATAGAATTACAACATCTAAATAATTAAAAAATAGTAAGAGTATAAGTTATGCATTTCAAACAAACATTTTTAATCTAGAGTGGAAAGATAGCTGGCCTGTCTGTCAGTACAGGAGATAGAATTACAACATCTAAATAATTAAAAAATAGTAAGAGTATAAGTTATGCATTTCAAACAAACATTTTTAATCTAGAGTGGAAAGATAGCTGGCCTGTCTGTCAGTACAGATAAAAGAATTAATATATTAATATATTAAAAAATTAATTAAAATTACAATATTAAACTAATGAAAATTTAGAGCAGTTGTAAAAGCATTCCAAGCAAACTTGTTATTTAAGGGATGATCGTTAACATTTTTACAAAATATGATTTAATAAGTATTTAGGTACTTTCAGATAAAATGGTTAATATGTGTTATTATAATTTGTCATGTTGAAATTTTTCAGTACCTGGTTATATCAGTAGATCTGTGGCTGGGAGCTATGACAATGAAGGAATTGCCATATTTGCACTCATGTTTACATATTACCTATGGGTAAGTCGGCCAGTTCCTCCCCCTCCCCCCTCCCCCAAACCACCACCACCACCACCTCTCTTCCAACTCATTTCACACTAATTCCATATTGTTCACGTCACTTTTTATTCCCTTCCACCCTTTCTACCCATTTACCCATTAATTCTTAATGTTAAAAGCTTAATGCTGTTTAGATGTTTGGATAATCACCATGGGATTTTAGTCTAAATAATTGATTTTATGGGCATTATTTTATTGTTTTCCTGCCAGGTTATTAATGACAGTTACTTATCCATTGATTTTGACCTGTTTGACTAACTGTGGTAATGTTCAGTATTGTTTTAAATATTGCTTTCATTTTCAAAGTGATGAATTTTGTGAAATCTTTACTTCAGTTTCTTGCTAAATTTTAACAAATTTTATGAATAATAGATTCAGAAAAGTATTAATGGTACCTGAAGAGGTGACCTTTAAGTGAATAGCAAAGTTCGGCTCATGATAACAACTGTTCTTGTGAGTTGCTAGAATTGATGCAGTCACATATTTTAAAGATTAAATACTCAATTTCATAAGTTATGATGTTTGAAATTAATGAGTAACTTTTAAATTATAAAACTTTTTTTTCAGATAAAATCTGTGAAGACGGGCACAGTATATTGGTCAATGTTGTCATCTTTAGCTTACTTTTATATGGTAAGTCTTAGAGACCATTCCCACAGATATTTGGATCAGTCTATGTATGGGAACTCAGTCTTAGGTAGAACTCTTAATATGAAAAAGCTATACTTTTTGATGTGATGATCTATGATACTCTGTGGGTTTTACATGAATGTTTTAGTGCACTTTTGAAATTAAAATCTCCAGATTCATATTTTTGGTCCAGAACTGAGAACAAAATTTTTTGGACAATTATTTTGTTTGTTGTTGTAGGTGTCAGCCTGGGGAGGCTATGTGTTTATCATCAACCTTGTACCACTTCATGTTTTTGTTCTCATACTCATGGGAAGGTTTTCTCGGAGAATATATGTAGGTAAGTCTGTGTCTGGTGGTATTAAACAGTGATGTAGTTGCTGTTTCTTATAGTAATAATTATATAGAGATTAATTCACAGCAGGGTCAATTTGGAGAGGAAATAGACCAATTATTGCCAAGTCGAACGTTATCAAGTAAAGTTTATTTTTTGTACATTGCACTCCACATGAGTTTTAGCCCAGTGTTAAGATGATTAGAAATGTAAATTGTTTCTAAAAAGTGTTTTTAATATTGTTTTACTTACTGGTAAACATTTCAAGCCAACAATTATTACTCTTTCAAGACTTGTGACATTCGGTCTCAAATGAGAAGGGGTATTACAAAGTTTTATTTCAGTGTTAGCATTTCAATTGCTAAGTAAAATGTTTTTTATATTTTTTTTCAGCGTACACAACATTCTACATTGTGGGTCTTGTGCTGTCCATGCAGATTCCCTTTGTTGGTTTTCAGCCAATCAGAACCAGTGAACACATGGCAGCAGCAGGTTCGTACTACATTTTGGATAATTACCAAAGGGCTGCTCAGACACATTTTTTGCTGTTGTTACAATAATAAATAATTGACTTTATATCAAAGAAGTGGTAAATTTGTGAAAAATGAACAGATTGTATCAAAACTTTCTTTTTCCATTATGGTATTAATATTTTCTCCTTTCAGAGGACATTTTCTTGATCCTCTAGATAGGAATTAGGTGGCAGTTTTAGGATTTTACTGTTTTATAAGTTAGGACACAGTACTTGTCCCATTACATATAATTCAGATGTAGGTTGTTGGAAACAAAAAGCAAAATTTGGAAGTGATTTTAGGCAATAAATTATGTAATATATGTATATTGTGAGCCTCACTTTTTATTATATGGATATTTTTGGGATTTTCCAGGTGTGTTTGCCCTCCTCCAAGCCTATGCCGCTTTGCAATATATACAGACATACATGACAAAGACACAGTTCCGGAACTTCTTCCTATTAGCATTAGCTGGGGCAGCTGGTCTTGTATTCCTGGCAGTGATAGGCTTAACATGGCTAGGTAAGCCCATCTGTGATCAGATATGTCTTATAACAGAATATCTTTTGAAAAGCAAAGCAGCAGGTTCAGCCCAAATGGTGCATGAAATATAGCACAGCAGACTTATGCTGAGCAGACTTATGCCCCGATTTTAGTCTGCATCTAAAGGTTCATGAAATCAGGACTTGGTGCCTGTGTAATAATTTATAGGTACATTTGGGATGAAGAAAGCCAAGATGTGTAGATACTTGGTGCACATTTAAAGTTGAAACTTTCCTTTGATAATTTTGGAGATTATTTGTTTAAAATACTTCATTGAAACTTTTCAAATTATTAACCACATTGAATTGAATTCCTGAAAAAAAAAAACTTTCTGTAAATAGGTTTTGTTTTCACAACAGAATTGTATTTTCACTCATCCATGTTCCTCTTACTAGGTTACATTGCTCCGTGGAGCGGACGTTTCTACTCCCTTTGGGACACTGGTTATGCCAAGATCCACATTCCCATTATTGCCTCGGTGTCGGAGCATCAGCCCACCACCTGGGTCTCGTTCTTCTTTGACCTCCATGTCCTGATTGCAGTCTTCCCTGCAGGCGTCTGGTTCGTTATCAAGGAGATTAACGATGAGAGGGTTTTCAGTAAGTGGGGGCATGGTTATGTTTTTATTTTAAAGTGTTACGAACTTATTAATTATGTAGATGCATCTTGGATGATACACAATTTGAAATAAAAAATTTAATTAATCATAATGCTTTCAAGTATTACTAAGTTCAAGATTTAATAAAGATTATAATACTGTAACTCAGACTTGAATTTTTGTGTAATATCATTTAGAGTGAAAGAATTTAGAGAAGACAAATATTTCTCAAGATTGAAGAGAAAATAATGTCAGATTTTTAATCGAAGTAGATACCAAGGATTTAATGGCTATGTTCAGAAAACTTTTCTCACTGTGTAAAGAAATTGCCAAACTGATTAACCGGTCTTTCAGATCATAACATTGGTTTGCTTATTTTTTCCCCAGTTATTCTGTATGCTGTAAGTGCGTCGTATTTTGCTGGTGTCATGGTACGTCTTATGCTGACCTTGACCCCAGTGGTGTGTGTCCTGGCGTCCATAGCGCTATCGAAGACGTTTGAAATCTATCTGAAGGATGAGCAGACCAAGGAAGAGAAGGAGAAGGAAGAGGAGGAACAGAAGGAGGAGAAAAATGACAAGTTGTATGACAAGGTAGTGAAGCACCCCAACACTGTGAGAGTGAAGGCTTTGTATGGCAGAAATATTTTCCTGAAAATTTTAACACTTTTCCTAACCAACGTATACCATATCCAGAATTCTTCACAGAATTACGAACATGAAACCCTTTTATTCTTTTCTAAGTTTTATTATTTAGTTTTTTCGAGTAACTCTCACAACCCTTGATGAATGTCTCTTGTGATGTAAAAAATTAGAAATTAGTACTGGCAGGGGGATTTGTAGATTGTGTTTTTTCTTTTGTTAACATTACCTTTCCCTTTATGACATAAAATTTATAATTTGCCTTACAGTACAAAAGTATGAAATGCGATAACATTTGAGTTTTTCTTGATTAAGGTCTATGGAGTATGATCATGACATCATTTTCAGTTATCTATTTTTACCCACCCAGGCACCAAAAGCAAAGAAAAAGGGAGAAGAACGAACCATTGAAAAATCAAAGAAGAAAGAAAAGGAAGAGGCGGTGGGGTTAAACGTGAAGAGTATTGTAATCATCGCCTTCCTCATGATGTTAATGTTGTTTGCTGTCCACTGTACCTGGGTCACTAGCAATGCCTATTCCAGTCCCAGCATTGTATTGGCCACATATGGGCAGGATGGGTGAGTGGTGTTACGGCAAAGTTTGGATTTTTTTCTTCAGTCAACAGCCAGTGTTGAAATTGTTTACTTTCTATATGATGATGATGCTGTAGACATACGTTGAAATAATTAAAGGTGAACAATTTCAGTGTTAGCTGTTGATTGAAGAAAAAAAAAATACTACTGTAAATTTATTTTTATTAATATAAACATCTGATGAAATTCTTATCTGCAGTTTTGAAAGGACCCCTGCCTTCTTATGAGGAATGTTTAAATCTCGTGTAGATTGGTTAAAATAATGGGTTGTTACAAAAGTGTTACTGAATTATGTGAAATTCCACTGCCAGTCTCAGCATCTGGGTCTGCATTCAGCTGATAGAAAAAAGAAACTTCAAGTTTCATTAAAACAGATATTGGTGTACCCTGCACTAAGTTTAAGGAGATTTTTTGAGGCTTGATTTTTTCAATAAAATTGTAGTTGTAAAATTTTGTGAATTTTACAGATGATAATAATTATACAACACTAAGTCTAATTATGTATATATATTTTTTTGTTATTTTTAGTTAGAATTATCACTCATTAATTTGATATGAGAATAATTTGCTGTCTGAAAGACCTCTTTATTAATCCTCTTATTTTTTATTCCAGTACCCGCAACATTTTAGACGACTTCCGAGAAGCCTACTACTGGTTGCGCCAAAACACGCATGAAAAGTCGCGAGTGATGTCTTGGTGGGATTACGGGTACCAGATCGCAGGAATGGGGAACAGGACGACCTTAGTGGACAATAATACGTGGAACAATAGCCATATTGCTTTGGTAAGACTGTGTGTGTGTGTGTGTGTGTGTTTGCATATGTTTGTGTGTCTCTGTGGGTGTGTGTACATCTGTGTGGAAATGAAGAAAATGTGTTTGTATGTTCATAACTGTGCATGTGTGTGTGTGTGTGTGTGTGTGTGTGTGTGCTTGCATTCATGTTTGTACATATGTGTATATATGTGGAGAGAGAGGCCATGTGTGAATGAGTGTAGTATGAGTGGATGTGTATTTATGCTTGTGTTTCTTGTTTATGTTTGTGCATATATACATACATATATGCATGTGTATATGTGTAGAACTGTGACTTCAATAAAGCAGGAGTCAATTATTGACTATCTTGCTGCTTCCAGGTGGGCAAAGCCATGTCATCCAATGAGAGTGCAGCATATGAGATAATGCGGACCTTGGATGTGGATTACGTCCTGGTGATATTTGGTGGTGTGATTGGTTACTCCGGAGACGACATCAACAAGTTTCTGTGGATGGTGAGGATAGCGGAGGGGGAGCACCCCAAGGATATCAGGGTGAGTGAGAAGTCTGGGGGTACAAAACTCATTTTTCAGTTTAAAAAAAGTGGATATTTGAGCTGGGATGAGATTGTCATGACTCTCTATGGATTTTTAGGTGGTGTTGGTGCTTACAAACAGTTCTGAGATTTTTCCCACTAGTGGCAGATTTCCAACGTTATGAGAGCCAAAATATCTCATCCCTATTTGAGATGTCAGCAACGCGCACATTTTGTGTAATATTTGCGTGATTATGGCCTGCCCCATTGTTTTCTGTGCTGTGTATTATAGCAACCTCCATTTTGGAAAGAAATCACAGTGACTGAAAAGTGATGTAAGACAGTTATGTTATGCACACATTGTGTGCCTCGCTGACATGATTCAAATGTTCTCCACTTTTGTGTAATGACCTCATTTTAGGAGAAATATTAAGTCTCATGTCTCTTGTATACTGATGGTAAAAACAAGAGATCAAAGTATGTTGCCTGGTACTTTTTTCTGCTACTTTATTTTTTTGGGGATGGGAGCGAAAATATACTAGCACATAGAATTGTCAATTGTCATTGTGAAAAATTGGCCATTTAAATAGACTACTACAGACTTCAACAGTGTCAAAATAGAATAAAGGGCTTGGTTATTTAGCTGAGAACAACTTAAACTAGAGTATAACTCTTGGTATTACAGTTTTTTGATTTTGATTTCAGGAATCTGACTATTTCACCCCTCAGGGGGAGTTCAGAGTGGACGCAGGAGGTTCTAAAACTTTGCTCAATTGTCTCATGTACAAGTTATGTTACTACAGATTTGGGCAGCTACAGGTGGGTCATTTACACCGACTTTCTCTCTTTCTTTATTTTTTTAAAGATATAGAATTTTGATAGCTGACTTTGGTTTCAAAGTACAATTACGTCATAGCTGAGGCACGTAGCTTTAAAAACAATTGATTGCAAATATTTTCAGTTCCAAAATATAACTAAGAAGTAATTTAAGTATGGTTTGGCATGGTTTTTGAATTAAGTTATAGTTTTACTATATATTTTCAGTTGCAAGGTATAACTTTTATATACAAATTACCTTCAAGGGAATTAAATTTTTTTTTATTCCAGTTGGATTTCAGAACGCCACCTGGTTTTGATAGGACACGAAATGTGGAAATTGGCAACAAAAATTTCGATCTTCGTTATGTGGAAGAGGCGTACACCACTGAGCACTGGTTGGTCAGAATTTACAAGGTCAAGGACATGGAGAACAGAGAGGAGAAAAAGTTGTCAAAAAAGATTAAGAGGAAAGCATCCAGAAAGGTGAGAACAAAATAGAAAAGTTGCTTTTAGGGTGAAGAGGTGACCATTTAGGTTGAATTGAGAGAGAGAGAGAGAGAGAGAGAGAGAGACTATCAAAAAGTATTAATCAAGGTATCTTTTCATGTTGGAATTAAGAAAAAAGATTATAGATAGTGTTGTTGTGTTGAAGGAGATTCACAAGAATGTTTTAGAAATAATTAGTAAAATTCAGTTTACAAGTTGTTTCTTTCATTGTAAACATTCAGATTAGTGTCTGATTGATGATACACCCTATTGATTTCTTTACAGACAAGTAGAAACAAGAGAGGCAGCATTAAAAATAAACCCAAGATTGTAAAAGGCAAAAAACCTGCAAAAACTACCAACAAGAAGAAGAAGAACTAAAATAACCCTGTCAAAACCGCCAACAAGAAAGAAAAATTGTAATTATCAGAATAGATAATGAGGAAAGTTACAGAACAATGATGGCAGAGAAAAAAACGTTAGAGCATTAATATTTTGTAAAAAGATAAATCATCGAGGAAATTAGAGTTTCTAGGATAATTTTATAATTATAGTGGTATCTTTTATTGTTTGCATTATGAATGCAGAGACTACTGAAGGCAATGAATTTGCTTTCTGCTGCAAACTCTCTTTTCGATTCTTATATGATGACTCAAGGTTGTTTTCAGTGAGAAATGTCTTTGGGGTAAAAAAAAAAATGGCCCGAGTTTCAAAACCTAACACAGCTGGACTGAACTTGCACTTAAAGTAGTCTCCAATTTATGCTAATATCAATTGGGTTTTGATACTCTGGGTGCGATTTTTTTTTTTTTTTTTTTTTTGGGGGGGGGGGGGGGGGGGGTGGCACTGACATTTTTCTTGAACAAAACCTTGACTAAATGCTAACTATCCCAGAAAAACTGGATAATCATGTTGTATCTCAGAAAGTAGGGGTTGGTTATCAGGGGGTGACCTTGGAATATATATGCTCTTTTCCATAAATTTTGTGAGGGAGGAGGCATTTTTCTTTTCTTTCTTTTTGTATCAAATCCAATGTACATTAAGGTGTATAATTTCTGTTGCTGTACATTCTCCAAGTTTGTTATGTGTGGTCGCTATTTGGTGGTTAACGACATATTTATTTTGTAGCATAGATGGAGTTTCTGTGCTTGAACTGATAAATTGTTAACTAGAGGGAAAATTAGTTCTTTATTTGCAGGTTTTTCCTGTGCAATGTGTTGTAAAGAAAACAATAAAAGTGAAATTGTTTCATGTTTCTAAGCGTTATGTTTTACCCAGAATTTAATCTTATAGCAGTTATCAATAATCACATAGCATTTCTCGATTCTCTTTATTACAAACCTTGTACAACTTGCAATAGTATGTTTGAACATAAAATAAAACGTCAAGACATGGAAAATATAACTTTTAAAATTTATTTTCTTAATTATATTATACATGTCACGCTGAAATAAAATCACCAATTTATAGTCTTTCTGAAACCGTTATTAATTTAAGATATTACTGTTCATAATTATCTCCTTGGAAGAGATGAGCACTACCTGTCACGACTTGAAACTCATAATACAGTGCAGTCATTTCTTTATGAATCCCTTCCGCATCAAAAAAACTTGCTACTGTGCGGCCATTTTTTAAGCTTTCACACTCCACAAACATACAACAGAGAAGCCTCTACTTTTAAAGGCTTATCACTCAGAATACTCTTTCACAAAATCTTTGAAGTCGCAACAAGTTCCATGCACAAGTCTCAGGTAAAACTGCCATTTTTTTCTGACAACTACTGCATATTTACAATGTTTTCAAGAGTTTTCTTCATAACATGTTGACATCTAAAATACTTTTCTTGCATTGTTTGAATTAATTGAAATTTGTGTGTCACAGTAACAATAATTTTAACTTATCGAAAGTCTCTTCTTTTCTTGACGTGTAAAGAATTCTGACTAGCATTTCATACTTACTGGACAGCAAAGCTTGTGAAGGTACAGGCAAAATACCAATTTCATGTCTATTAAGCTCAGTGGCTGCTGATACGTCAGATACGATATTCAAAAAGAACAAAACTGTGTTACTCAATTGGCAAAATCCATTACGCACAGGGGTGAACCGTGACCCTTTTTACTATCTGCATAAGATAATTAGATCAAAAATGCTGTTGTCTCTGAAAGTTGTTTGTACTGCTCCCTATCATAACATTACTTACAATAAGTGATATAAAACAATAAAACACTAAAACCCGGAAGAGAAATTTGCTTATTGTTCACATCCTTAGGTACCCATTTATTTTAGGGAAAAAAACCATTATGTTCTAATAGGTCCTTAGCAGAGATAAGAATATCAACATATATTTCAGGAGAAAATCTTGGATACAAGTAAAGGCTAATATACTGGAGATGATCCAGGTCATTATACACCATAGTTGGTGCTCAAGCTGACTCAGGTTAGTGAAATCTGTACATAGACTCTTCCTTGTGAATCTATTTAAAATGTTGACAATTGCTGAAATAAAACTGCTCAGCAATTGGACAAAATGTAAGGGAAATGGTGAAAACGTGGACATTGAGGTGTTATGTAACCTGAGCGAGGTCTCACATAAAAGATGACAAAGTTAACTGCAGGTTCACATCGTAATACATACCTTATTACATACTTATATATCTTGAATATAATACATTTGGATAGGTGAAATAACTTATTATTAAAGAAGTTAGAATGAAAATATACTTTCATTATTATTTGCTCACTGTCTTCAATCAAAATTATCTTCAATCACTTATCATATTCTTCTTTTTCCTAAAAAATGTTAGTAAGTAACAAGAAAAAGATAGTTTGGAAATTTCTGAAAAGGTAACATTCATGTCAAAAGTTTCTTTCTTGTGAGTAATTAAAAGTGATACATCCTAAAAAATGAATTACTGGAATTAATGATGTTTGACATTTGTAGAATTCACTACATCTGGGTTACAATCCAATCTGATGTTTGATATACAAGTAGAAAATTTCAACCCAAAACCTATAACCAGGGATGAAAATTGCACTTGGTGAAAAGTCGGGAAAATAGCATTGGCTCCAGGGGGCTGCCTGGGCCAATGATAATTTTGGCTCCCAAAAAGTTGGAAATCTGCCGGAAAAATCTCATCCCTGTATAACAAAGACAACAATCAAAGCCTGCATCAGCAACCCACATGTCTACGCACAAAAGCATGAATTACATCTAAAATATTTAAAATATGCTGCAAATCAATATGAAACAAGTTGACACATATACAAATATAACAGTAATAACAAGTCAATTAAACCAAAAATATCAATTTTTCACAGAACAGTATATCATCATGACATCATCTCTTAGAAAATGAAGGTAACTGTGAATCAACAAAATAATATAAATCAACAACATTCATACTTTTTAACACCATATATACAAAACAAAATGATGTAAGTCCAAACAAATGAAGAAAAAAAGGAATTTAACAATAGAATCAGCACTGAAGTTTGTGTTAGATATTCCTAAATGGACAGAAATCCAAATCCATTATGGAAAGACAAGTGATAAGATCTAGTTGCCCTAGAAAGAAGAGTTATGCAAACTCATACTCTTGTTCGTCAAAATGAGACTGTACATGCCTCTCAAATTCGGTCTGGGCTGTCCCGACACTGAAGCTTTTGTGGCACATGGGGCATTCTGGGCCTGTATGTTCCCTGTCGATGTGTTCAGATATTTTCACCTCGGCGTCATCTCCCTGGAACTGCTTGTTGCACATGGGGCACTGTGGCAATGGCATTCCAACTGCATCTTCAAACCTACCAAAAATGTGGTCATAATTTCATTAGTTTTTCTCATTTATCATTTAAGGTTTAGTTTTTTAAAAATTCAAGCAAAACTTTTTTCTAGACAAATTCTATTTATAAATTATTTTACTCTGATTTTAAAATGTACCATGAATACAATTGAGAAGTTGCAAAATTAAAACCAGTCCTCCTATCTCTCCTCCCAGAACTCCACCAAAAAAAAAAAAAATAAATAAAAATAAAAAATAAATAAATAAATAAATAGAAAAAATAAATAATAATAATATCAAGTTACTTTGCCTGGCAATTTAAAGCACAAATTCAACCAAACCCATCACCAACTGAAGCAATGACATTGAACATAAAAAGTTTACTTTTCTTCCTCTCCGTCTGGTGTGTCAGCCTCCTCTGCCGTTTGATCCTTCTTGCTGGGCTCCTCAGCAGGGGGCGCCACCAGGTCCTGTTCTGTAGGAAAGTCGTCGCCATCTGTTGTGGAACTTGATGAGGAATTTTCTGCAATATAAATATACACTGTAATTACCATCAGTGCAACTGTCAAAAACGTAATGTGTTTACCAAGTCAGAACAGGACATAAGGACAGCCATAACATACTTCAGTCTTCATCACCTTCTGCTGTTACAGTAATACCACAATTTTTTTTGGGCACCACAGCTCTGCTAGCACATTTTGACCTAGTTCTTAAAACCATGAACCATCAACGGTAACTTGTGACAGCTTAGAATCCTGCCTTAGCTTTACTCACCACTGCTACTCTCTTTTTTGTGAACGGCCATGACGGCAGCCATCTTGGCCGAGGGCAGAATTTCCGGTTTCATGGGCGGGTCCAAAAGGGTGCTCTCTGCAGCTAATAAAGGATTGCCCATGGCAGGGTGCCTTATCTCTGGCGAAAGGGCTGGAGGGAGAACGGGTGCGTAGGGGTTTCCGTACTCCATTATCACAGGTGGCGTTGCTGGGCTGGGCAAGCCATCTGGTGGCAAAGCGTAACTGGCGGTCTTGTTGCCCCTTTCTGCAGCCAGCAACCCACTTAGACGAGTTATTTCCAGTTTTTGTTTATTGCACACTTCCTGGAATGACATTATTGACAATAAATTAGATTCCTTTCATGCAAGGAGTTTCTTCTCATTTTTTTTGTCAATGCACTTGTTAGCAAGTACCACAAAAAAAGAAAAAGCCCTACTTCTGAATGGCCAGATAACATAGAAAGAACACTGTGTTTTCCTCCTCAACTCACCGCCAACTTCTTTTCATTTCCAGCGCTATCTTTTTCCAGGGCTTCAATTTTGCCGTTCAAATCAGAAATCAGTGCCGTTTTCTTTTGAAGCTCCTCCTCATAGTGCTTACGCAGGAAGTCATTTTTCTCTCTCTCATCCAAGAATCTGGCAAATAAAAGAATAAATCTTTATACTTTGGCAAATTAACACTAATTTATGAAGACTACTTAAAACACTTATTAATTAAGAGCCTGGGTTATCACTGCTTCTGGCATCATTTTGCTCACTGGCAAAAATTTATAATGATTTTCATATAATTGTATTATACATTTTACATTCACATTTTATGACCTTATTCTACAGTTTGCCTTATGTGGACCCATTCACAGAGAAGATTAAGTACTAAGTAAGTATTACTTAAAGTAAGCAAGTATTCTACATTGTGACTTTATTTTATACATGACACCAACCAAACCCTCAAAATGTTATGTTATAATATATATCTCAAAGTTATGTTCCCTACTTCTGTTTGTACATCTTTTTTTTCATGGTCCTCTTTTCCAATTCTTGTCCCAAATCTTCAAACTGAGCCTGCAGTTCTTCAATGGACAAGCTACTGGTTGGTATACTGGTGACCACTTCAAAGTCCCCACCTTGGTCTGCTCTGGTCTCTGCTGCTGCTGCTGCTGAGGATATGAGGTTTTTATCTTTATTAAAATCCTACATGTTTCTTACCAATAACAATTAAAATTTTAATAAATTATATAGCTTTAGAAAAATTCTGATGTGAGTTTCTGTAGTCTGGGGCTAGTTTCACAAAAAAGCCAAAACCTGAAAAAATTGGTCTAAACTTTGAGACAAAAATTTAAGTCTACTTTAACCCCTAGGATAAATAAGTAGTCCAGTAGATGAAATATTTAAATGCAAAATGGCTAACTATTCACACCAACACTTCATTCAACTGGACCAGAATAGATATTTTATATTCAATTGAAGTACGTTCTACTGGTCCTTCAAGACAAAAATTTTGGTCTAAAGTTTACACCAATTTTTGAGCTAAAGGTCTTTTCCTTCTTCCAGTGAGATCATTTAGTCTAGTCCAGTGTAGTAAGTTAGGTCAAGGTGTGAACACAGCCACTGATTGCTTACATGGTGAGGCAGCATCCAGCTCTGTGGCTTTCAATTGTTGTGCGACCTCCGTCAGCACCTCTTCCACCAGTGGTGCCTTCTTCTCCACTTTTGGTTCTTTTGCTGAAAGACAATCATACACAGTTGTATATATATATATATATATATATATATATATATATATATATATATATATATATATATATATATATATATATATCTGTGCATACCCCTCACTCAACACACAGTCTACTAATTTTCTTTTTAGAAAAGTAATAAGTTACTTAAGGACTACTTCTTATCTGGGCCTCAGATCAGATCATTTCCTACAATGGCATTATTTTTCCAATCTACAGGCCCTTCAAGACAAAAGATCAAACAGACTTCTAGCTCATAAGACTCTGTGACCAGTAAACTGACTACAACAACACAATGTGACTATTGTAACACAAGCACCAAATTTACAACCATATGACATTGGGAAAAGTGGCAACAACACAGACTGTTTAGAACAACAAAACTGGGCTGAATACGCAATGGCTTTGGGGGGGAAAAAAGGTGCACAAAACCCACCAGCGAGTTTCTTGGTTGCTTTCTGGTACTGGATGTGGAGTGCCTTGTATTCGTCTGCCCCCATCTTAAGCCTGGCCTTCAGGTCGTCCACCTCTCTCCTCAGGTCCTGCTCCTGCTGCTTCCACTGCTCCTGATGTTATATCAAATAGAAGAGATGAAGAGCTATCAAGGCTGATAAAGCTTACAACTCTGCCCCCCATCCCCGCCTTTCTCACTTCCTATTCTTCCGTCTCTCAGAAATATCACTAACCACAAACATTAGAAGCAATATTTGGTTCAACAATTTTTCAATATGCAGGCAACAAGTTATTTTTTAAAATATATCATAATAGGATTCTGAAACAAATTTCCCTGATGTGTGAAAAACTCCATAAATACACATCAAATGCCATCAAAGATATGTGGACATTATAAGTATCATCTTTCAGGTGTTAGCATAGCCATTCAAATAAAGTAAGAAAAATAAAACTTACTGCCTTCAAACTCACCAAGTGCAGTAAGGATACAAAACAATCACAACTTCAAAATCTTTAAGAAACATTATAAACGAAACATACATACCTGGCGTCTTGTTAGGTTCTCTTTCTCTATCCGAGCCAGGTCATATTTGTTTTTGTATCTCTTATATCTGTCCTTCAGGTCATTCAAGACAGGCTGCAGAGCAAACGCGGCTCCCGCGGCATCGTTCTGCATCTGGACCTCCTCAGATTGGAGACGGGCCTTCAGGGCCAGGATCTGTTCATCTTGGTCTTGAGCCTTGGTGTCAGCCTTTTCCTTCTCCTGGAGAGATACAGTCTTGTTAGGTCAGAAAATATCAGCTAGGGGCAAAGTGGACAGTTGCACCACTCCACTTGCACAATGCTTGATAAGAGACTTGAACTCCCAATATATCTAAACTTAACTTGATTTTATTTTTTATTTATTTATTTTGCATTTTCATCTTTTCATCAAATAATAAATTTGAACATCCATAATCAACAAAAATTTAACTAAAAGTGAGCCCAGGTAAAACATATTCAGGGATCTTTTTTTTTTTCTTTTAAATGATTAAAATAAGACTAATACAAATGGTTCTATTTGACACCCTACCTCCAGGATCTTTTAACAAACTCACCTTCTTAATCATCTCCAAGGCAGTCTCCCTTTCTTCCACCTCCCTCCTTGAAGTCTCCAGCTCTTCCTTGAATCGCTTCTCCTCCCTGGCCAGCTTGTCCTTATAGCTGTGGGACTCAGACTTGGCTTTCTGAGAACAATTACAAAAGAGAATTATCTAAAGGGGGAGGCAGAGCAGGCAATGAATTGGTTAAAGGAACAAAAGAGGAAGAACTGCTACACCAGCAGTGTAAGATGTTCAGTATTGGAACACAAGTATCTACAGTTAATTTCATTTTCATCAATATCAATTACCTATAATATAAACAAATTAGATACAAAAATAATTCACTAACCTCCAGATTGTTGGACATTTCCATGTAAGCAGCTTTCAGTGTCTCAGTTTCTTCACTCAGCATCTGTTTGCAGGCGGCGGCAGCCTGGAGTTTGTCCTCAGTGTTTTTCAATTTCTCTGCCAAAGCGGCCGACTGCTCCTACAAGTAGGTTATTACCCTGTTAATTCCAACACATAAATACCTAACAGCACAGTTATTGTCTTCATGGCAATAAAAGAAAAAAAAACTCTTCCTTTTCATTGATGATTTGGTTATAAAATTGGCAGATTGGCAGTAGCATACCACCAAAATCTACACATCTGTCCTTCTGTCTCACGTTATGGAATTGAGAGACAGATATACCACCAAAAACCATCACATATTTCAAAGTTCAAACTAAACCTGAGTGTGTTCTTAATCGTAATTTTTCTCTCCCTCATTGTCAGACATCATACCTGGTCTGCGTCTCTGAGCTGTCTAAGCTGAGCCATGTCTCTCCTCTCCTTGTCCAGCGCCATCTTCAGTTCTGAGACCTCTGCTCTACACTGGGTGAGGTCACCCTCGTGGCTGGTGTTCTGCTTCTGCAGGTTCTCTATTTCCAGAGTGTGCGCCTTGATGGCAGACTCCGAGTTGGTGAAAATGTTTCTGGAGAATAAAAAAATAAGATACACATCATCCAGGACCATCAGGCTAAAAAAAAAAAAATGACAATGTCTGCCTGAATGGACAAATAAATTTTCTAGACATAGTTGTCTGACATTTTCTTCTCCCAACTGAAAAATTGTATTAATCAGTGAAATTGTGACAGAAATGTTCTCTGTCTGCATTGATAATTTCTAGCTCCCACAGAATAATAACTGTATTCTGGAATAATAATTGCTACTTAACCATCATTTTGTACTTTCTATCTGTAATAAGGCACTCTCATTTAGATGTGTTAATACCACAAATGATTGAAATAAAAATGTTAAAAACTGAAGTATTAGAATTGCACATCTTCCTACAGAAGCATGGATTGGCAGTGATTAACTTTTTAAGCATAAACCTTTTATGACTAGCACTTTCTTATATAAAATAACAGACATTTCATAAATGAACCAGATATTATAATAGTACCTTGTACAATTCCTTCTCCTCATCCAGAGTCTTAACTTTACCACACAACTCATCTTTCTCTCGGTTCACTTCCTGAAGTTCTTCCATCAGCCGAGTTATTTCTACCTCCTTGGATTCCAAAGTTTTACTCAACTCCTCTTTCTCCTAATGAATGAATGAATAAATGAAATGATTTTCATTTTCATTAAAAAAATTCCAAATCTGTGACTCAAACATCTATTTTAACATCAAGTTCTTGCATTTTCTGTTCATCAATCGGAAGGAATTTCGTAAATCCTCCACAAACCAATAATACTTTTTATCATTTTCCCTTTAAAAATCATTTTCACGATCTGACTCACTTTCATCAGTTTCTCTATCCTTTCCTCCTGCTTGGCTGCCATGTCCTTGGCTTCAGCTTGTGTTGAAGAAAGCTCCTCTTGGACCTTACACAGTGACCTCTGTTGGCTGTCTAGTGATTCCTGTTTCTCCTTCACTTGCTTCTGATACTCCACTAGTTTCTCGATAAGGCTCTCCCTGTCAGCATCAAGGGCCTCTTTGCTCTAAGGAGATCATAACAACAATAGTCAATACTACTATTATTACTATCATCATTACAATAAAGACTAGAATTGACATACTGAAGAAATAGTCGGGAGAAACAACTTTTTAAAAGCACCATCTTTGTGGCAAATTGTGCAAAGTCAGAGAAACACGGAATTTGTGGGAATATTTTAATTATTTAGTATCATTAACATTTTTCAAACTTTCGGTAAATCGACCCAGGACTTACCTTCAAGAGTTCCTGTTTCTCCATCTCAACCTGGGCGATCCTCTCCTCCAGGTGCTGCGCCCTATTGTTAATAATAATCAGGTCAATGTCCTCATCCTCCGCTTCCTCAAAGTCGTCAGCGCGGGGGTTGCGGAACTGGAATGGTGTGCTGGCCCCGCGGACTTGCCCGCCATTGGCAATGTAGCAATACTGGTAGAACTCACCATCATCTTTTGGCAGGTTGTGAGCTGGAAAATAAATAAGAAATTGGTGTGATGGATGCCAAACTGACTTTGATGCATAAAAATATAATAAAATGGATACAAAATATTTATCAAGTTACCATATTTATCATATAATTTAAAATGCATAATCTATAACACTACTTACCAACTTTTCAGCAAATAATCTACTAATTCTAAAACTGTATAAAAAATTCATACCAACATCACAAAAGCCATAAGCAACTGAAGAAATTGATTTGAATATTTATACATAACACTGTATTCAACAGGAAAATATCATTCACTAACTGGATTTTCAAGTGAACATTTGGGGATGACATGTGAAAACAATTTTTGAAAATCTTAAAGTTATAAGGATCTGATCACTCAGAAAATCACACAAATAAAAACAACACTTTTCAAAACTAATAAATAAACTCTCAATCACCTTGGAAAAGTACACATGTTTCAATCTCCTGTTGTTCTTTATAATCAGCAGGGATGACGACCCACTCATAGCATATGTTTTCAGAGGACTTTACCCAGCCCACTTTGAAAAGGCCGATCCAATCATGCTTGGTGGCTGTCAGTTGAGAAGTAATGGCAAATGTGACGCTGATGTGAGCATCCGCAGGGTAATAACGTGCAATATTGTGAAATATCACTTGTCCAAACTCAGTTTTGTTGTTGAAGCGTACCTCCCCTCCTGGCCCCATCTCGACGACCTCCATACTCGTTGTGTTGGCCTCAGCCATCTGAAGATAAAATAGATCCACAATTATTCTTTTTTGTCTTTCACTGGTAAACTTATTTCAAATATGCAATTAGCAATACAATATGTGTCACTACATCTTCACTGTCTACTGCTCTCCTTTTATTATTAAATTAGATTTTGGCTAAGCTTGTACACTTTTCAGATCTTCATTTCATTCAGATTTCAGTTTGTTAATTTATTCTGGTACAAAAACTTCAATTTTAGTGTACAAAGTGACAATTTGCACAATATTGTCCTCTTTCCTTTATTTTACATAATTTCTTGAACAATCTAAATAATGACAAAGATTCTGGAAATAATAATAAAGTTTACAGCAAACTGATACCACGAATCTAGTAAATAAACAAGTGCTACATCTTTCTTAAGTCATAGGAAAATAACCCAGCAATGCATTTTTCAAAATGTGTTAATATTTCCTGGCAATTTAATATTTCCAAGATCATCTCGGTTAACAGAAAAAATAGGTTATCAATCCGATTACCTTCTACTGTGTTTATCTTTACCATCCAAAAAAGAGGCCATTTCAAATTGTTATCAGTATAAGTCAAACATGTTTGTTGGGCTCTATCAACTGTCACAGTTTGCTTATCTATTTTTGAGTCACAGTACCGTTTCTCTAGCCAACAGCAAAGATAAAAACTTGCTAGACTAAAATTCATGTAAAAATCCAATATGAAATGACTGATGTCACCTTTATCTTTAAATTAAATTTGCTTTTATCCATCAACGAAAATTTTACAAGCTAACCTATTAAAGATTAATATTTTCAAAGATTAATATTTTGGTTACTAGCTAAATCAAATACTAAGCACACTAGACTGTATATATAAACAAAACAAATACTGTCATTACTCACAAGCACAACACGCCTGACTTTATTTCAATTATTTCCTTAAAAAGTTTGTGTTACTCAAATTTCTTACAAAAAGACAGGAAAACAATTTAAATATATATAAACAAAACAATTTTTCTGAGTTTAAAAATAGTTATTACTTAAAAAAATAAATAAATGAATATGAATCAAGAGTGTTCAAATATACAGAGTGTTTACCATACCAGTCTACAATTCTCAGTTATGTACTGTAGAAAATCAATACCAGCCAGCTGTTGCTTAATGAGTGGTCAATAACAATATACAACAATACCTTGGTTAATTATCAACAACATTAACCATGAGAATTTAGACTTAATACTTGAAAAACTCTGCTTGAAAGTTAATTCAACTTGATTATCATGTGGAATTTCCACATAATTATGTACTAGTAAGATTCAAACTCTCTGAATGCATATATTTGAGTTTTTGCCATTTGACTTCATTGAAAACACACAATATATATTCAAAACTTGTGAGCACAAATGCATTTACACAATCTTCTGTTTTATTTTCAGAATGACCTAAAACATTTTCAAGTTAATTATAAGGAGACATCTAAATTTACTTGTAAACAAATGTCAACAATTTTGTGTTACAACAGCGCAAGCTGCATCTGATTCATTGAAATGACACTTAACCTCACTGTATGATGAAATAACTGGTCTCTTTTACACTGTAACTGATATAAAGATAACTTTTCAAGAACTGGGTTATTGCGAATTATCTGAGTCACTATCTGACACACATCCCAGTGACAGCTAGTCACTAAGTCAGTACTGTCGTTTTGAATTAATTTTCATTTTAAAATAAAGTTCTGTTACAATTATTCTTATTTCTGAATAAAATACCCAAAAGAAATTTAAATCTAAATTGTCAAGAAATTTAAATCCTAAATAAAAATCTACTTTCGATATCAATCCATGGCCGATTTCTGAGATACTAAAATTTATGGGCCAAGGGCAAGGTTGTCGTACAAAGGTTCACTAGTAAAACATGTTAAACTCATCACAAATAAAACCATAATCTTAAACCTATTCTGGGTAGTATTTTACGCTACCGATGTCTTGGTTTCTTGAGGTTCTGTGTTTTAAATAAATACTGAAATCTGCCTGCCTTGTTTTGTTTACTTTTTAACTTCCAGGCCACTCAACGTCACAAAATGGTTGATCGCGGTGAAAAAAATTGCAGAAAATCTATATCTTTTGCATTTGCGACATTTGAAATCACACAGTCTAACTTACTTTAGTTTTCCTGATCACTTGTTTTATTGGTGACTGTCCTATTGGCTATGTTATAATGTTCAGAAACTAGTAATAGCGACTCGTCAGCAGGATGCAGAAAATATTACAGGCTTTATTTTGGTGCATGACGTCAACTAATCTCGTTGAATCTCGTGCCTTGGTAAATGATTAAAAAATAGCAAGCATGCAACTTTGACCAAAGTGTGAATGGTATGTAACATATGTAAGGAATTTGTAGTGTTTGTTATTATTTTAAACTAATGGAAAACAAAAGCAGTGAACTGTGACTTTGACCAGAAGGGTGAAGGTCGTTCTGAGGTCAACCTGTGAAACGCTACATTCGGCTGGCCGCTAGCGAAGATATAATAGTGTTGTAAATTCAAAAGACACAAAAATGACAGAGCCACTAAAAGTAGCCATAGTTGGTTCAGGAAATTGGTAAGTCTTATTTGGTCAAGATTTGAAACAAGATAAATCTAATCTGAAAGTGATACACTCAATTTCTAAAAGCATGTCATTTCAACATGCTCTGACTCAGTTCTTGGACTACTTTAACACTGTGAATGTATTTGCTACAATAAAACATAGACAAGAAAGTTTATAGATTGACTGTTGCCCTAAATGATGGCTGTCAGAGGGTCATAATTAGTATTTATAAATGTTTTACACCGATGCAATTCACAGTTTTGCAGTAGTGCTAAAATCAGCATAACAAGACTTCCTCAGACTGCCCCTTACTCTCATTATGATTAATTTGGTATTTGCTTCTCAGTTAAAGAATTTGATTCCATCAACAGTATATCCCATCAAATACACATTTACCTCACCTAGAAACTGCTGAGTTTACCTTTTCAGTTTTGAGCACTTGAAGCTAGGGTGAAGCTGATATCAAACTGTAATACTTAATATACATGACTGCATGAAGAAATAAAATGCAAGAGATGTGCTTTTTTGCCTTAATGTTTTTATAGTGTACATTCACAGAGCAATTAATTTTAAGGAGATTAGTGACAAGTTGTGCCCAAATATACGAGTCTCCTACGAGACGTGTGAAACTCGTCTGGCATATGAGGCATGTTCACCTACTTTGAGTTGTTAATAATTAAAAGAAGTTCAGTTCAGGAGGAAAATGAATAACAAAGGGAAATTGCCATGAAAAGACTTCTAACAAATCAAGATTTACTTTACTTTTACTCCTTTTATAATTTTTCTTTTCTTTTTTTTTTTTAACAACTTGAAAATAAGATTTGGGAGTCTTTTTAAACATGTTCAGAAGAGCTGAAAATGCACCAGATTGATGTGCTTGGAGAGAATGCCAACCAGAGCACTCTAAGCCGATTTGGTACCAGAGTTTTATTTCTAGGTCTAACAAGTTAATATATATGTAAAATAGTCATCTTAATAAGGCATGACATTGAATCCATGTGCCATATGGATATTTTATTAATTTAAAACTTGAATGACATTCAGAATTTCTGACACATGAAAATTGAAATGTTTGCAGTTTGCACCTCTGATACCTAAACTTGAATCTGGATGCTACTCTGGATTTGGTACGATTTCCCTCAGGATTCAAGATTCCTAAATTCAATACAGTGTCTGATTTTTCATGAAGATTCTTTTTACTGAATACAGTGTATGATTTCCTTTATCTTAACTAAAAGATAGCAGGGTTGTCAATCAATTTAAAGCAAATTATGGAAAATCACAGTTACAAATAGGTAGACTGAGACGCTTTATTTATCAACACTAACAGAAATGTACAGCATTGCATTCTTGCTGATATCTTACTGGCTTAAAGCACAAAATTTATTGATCTGTAAACCAGACAGCATCTATTAATGTGACATTTGAAAGTCTGTCGAAGATGGATGTTTCAAACTGATAAATCACTGATCCCATGCATTGATTTTTCCCCTTCAAATTGAAGGTTATTATTGCATTAAGGGTTATAGCCCAATTACTACTATTGTAAATGGTTCAGCAATGCAACATTTAGTATGGTTCTATTATATTGTTACTAGTACTGTAATAATGTTCAGCAGAGCCTTCTAACCTGTAAGCTTTATGTTAGCATCAGATTATATGAAAATACAGACAATAATTATAATAATAGATGTATAATCATAATCTTAAAATTAGCATACTAGTAGGTTCTTACTAAATATGAAATTTGTGTACCAATGTATTTTTTTTTTTTTTTTAGTCTGAAGTAAATGGGTTTGTCTGATAACGCATAACTAAAGGAGTGTTCAGTGATTAATGATGGGCAATTTCTGTACCACCCCTCAGGATTAGACATGGGAAGATACCGAGTCCTTAATTAATGCTAAAAAAATACTGTATTCACATGTCAAAGCATTCATCAGAGTGGTCATGTCTGAACTGGTGCCAGTGCGGGATAGTGCATATTATACACAATTGACCTTTTAGCCAAGACAAGTATCTTAGTTCTTTCCCAAAGCAAGAAATCAGAATGAAGATAGTTTCTCGTCTTACTTTGTTTTTTTGCGGTTCTGTTTTAGATGAATACTGAAATCTCCCCCTTTGGTGAAAGATAGAAATTACTCAAATTGTTGTCATATGAAACATGCAGAAATGAATTTATGAATTCGGCATTTAAAGACAAAAAGCATTTTTTGGTGAAAGATAAAAATTACTCAGATTGTTGTCATATGAACCATGTAATGAATTAATGAATTTCGCATTTAAAGATAAAAAGCATTATTTTATAAAGTTGTTATTATTAGCATGTGTCACGATTAATTAGCAGTATACGACGCAAACGTGACAGGTTTGACATGTGTGTTCTGAATCAGGTGTTGTAAAAAAATAATTAGGTCAGGGGTGGAAACTCATTATGGAGAGCCATGATGATGAATTTCACGTAGAAAGGTGTATGGATACAACTTGCTTTGAATGATGAGGCCAATGATGTTGACAATGCACTGAAAGGGAAAACCAGTAAAAATACTAACATTCATTTTTATGGAGTATCTCAAGTTTAATTTCAAGCTGCTATGCTCTAAGTACTAGTACTTGTAAATGCTACCTTTTACAGAAACATTTTGAATTCACACTTGCTTATATAATAATAATAATAATAATAATAATAATAATAATAATAATAATAATAATAATATATTTCTTTCATTTTCAAGTGGAGTTATTATCAGACAACTTGACACATCAAAGAATATTATTACAATTTCTTCTTTGATACTATTAAGAATATCTTTAGAACAATTTTATTTGTGTACTGTAGTTTAACTACAATAAAATTTTTGCAATTCATATGTATTGATTTTAGAACCTGTCATGTTTTACAGATTGATATCTTACATAATGTAATAAATGCTTTTTATTAATTAGGCTATTGCACTTTTTTCAGGGGGTCTGCTATAGCAAAGATTGTAGGTCACAATGTTTTGAAAAGTGACGATTTTGCAACAGAAGTAAAGATGTACGTATACGAAGAAATGGTGGATGGGAGAAAACTTACAGAAATTATCAACACAGAGCATGAGAATATTAAATATTTGAAAGGTCACAAACTGCCAGAAAATGTGGTAAGTTAGAGTGTTATTCTCTAGTGAGAGTCACATCCTGCCTCCCCCCCCACCCCACCCCTACCACACACACACAAACGTGCATATACCCATAAACGTGTATATTTGCAGATGGGGTGGTATATCCCGCCCTTAATATTACATTAACCTTCCATTTCCAAAGAGTTCGACTAATTCTTTCAGTCATAGCATTAGTTCTATGGTATGATGGTAAATTCAACATAAGGTTGTGTGAGGTCACTTTTATTTCTTCCCTAAATTATGTGGATGAATTGACCTCAAAGAGAAACAGTCCTGTTGTGTACAGGAGCCAGAATATATGCATGTACATGGTGGAATAATAGGGAAAGAATTCATTGCACAGTGCTGGAGTGGAGTAATTCACAGGTAGTTCTTTCTGTTCTTTTGGTCTGCTATTCATCATAACCTTGGGCTGGGTGCTGCTTGCCACATGTTCCACACACCTGGAAATACATATCCTAGTATTATGTCTATTTCCTGGAGAATATATATAGATATAACAGAACAAATAAATCAGACTAGGAATTACACTGAGTGATTTCTCCTTATGCCAGTGCAGCCACAAAGAATTTTTGTGTGTGTACTTTTATACATGTATATGTATAGTACTTGTATGTTTTTAATCAATGGATATTTAGCCTGTTTAAGGTAAATTAGTCATATTTCAGCAAGAAGAGAACTTCTGTTTGGAATTCTGTGTACTAATTGGATTAAAGAATTGCCTTGGAATCGTGGAAATCTGATATCTTGAAAGCATCTCAAAGTTGGGCTGATTTAACACACAGTCAGTGTGAGGTCAATATGTTTTATAGGAAATCAATAGAAAGGTGTCAGCTTGGGGAAATAAATTGCCCCTGGGCCAGTGCTGTGAAATAGGTTTACCTGGAGTAAGTGAGTTGCTTTTGGCATTGATTTATTCCGTTACCCACATTTCTGTTTTTCTTTTCTATCTAATCAAGAGAACCTCTGATATGGCTGATCTTAGGCTGAACAGTCACGTCTCCCTTGTCTGATGTTCCCCTTATCATAGACACTAGCAAACCCTGGGGCCTAAATGAGGTGAAATTTGACCTTGATTGTGAACAACCAATCATATGTCCCCTTGCATGCAGTAACAGGAGAATTCAATCACCAAACTGTCTGCTGTTATTGATTTTCTGCTGGAATGCATTAAAGGTATCCTTTTTAGGATTTTCCCAACAAGTTAAATTTCCTGGAGAAAAAGATTGAAGCAATTTTCTTCTGCTCAGATATTTTAGCTCAATCATCCCTGCACTTAGGTCCAATGGTGTATGTATACAGTAGTTTGTAGTTCAATAATTTATAGTTCTGAATTACTGGGCCCAACCAGCTACTAAGACTGCCATGGCCTGTACATTTTAAAAAGAAATATTGACATCAGATATGTTTATTTGATTTGTTCAGTTGTTTCAAATGTTTAAATTGGGTAAGATTTAAATAGATTTACAGGATATGTAGAAATATAGAAAATATCACATGAAAATTCTCAGACACAAGCCTAAAATTTTCCGTACCGTTAGCTTACGGCCAACCTGGTCTAAGGCCTTCATCAGACTAACGTGAGTAGTTGTTCACACTCGTTGACCGCTAGGTGGTATAGCGGCAAGGACCCTCTTATAACTGTCAGGTAGATAAACCCTCCCCCTCTCCCTATTCATGGGTGGCTGGTGTCGGCTGATGTTGATAGCTTCTCGTATTTTTCGCGGGATGTCAGATGATTCAGATTCAAGAATCTTAGTTGAATTCCAATCGATACTTTGGCTGGTGTCTATTACATGTTCATGTTTATCAAACAACCAAGCTAATGAACATTTTTGCTCATCACTTTAGGGCATTTTCAAAAAACCCAGATAGTGTACCCTTAAGCTGAATCTGATTTGTAGGTTAACATTTCAATCACAGACATGTTTTATCTAATGGTGTAAACAGGGGTACAGGTACATGTACTTATGAGCCCCTGTATATAAAATATACATCTAGTATGTTTTTACCTATTATGCATTCAGTGTTAAGCCCAAGTAATTTGTCTTTATACCAGTATTTCTATTTGGCAAAAATATTTTATGAAAACACTTGCTAATGAACGTAATTATTGTCCAGGTTGCTGTACCAGATGCCAGAGATGCTTGCCGAGAGGCAGACATTCTAATATTTGTGCTGCCACATCAGTTTGTCCGTCGTATCTGCAGTAACCTGCAAGGCCACATTAAGCCAACTGCGGTGGCCATTTCTCTGATCAAGGTGGGGTGATTACTGACTTTTATAAAGAAGGAAAAATGCTAAAACAAATGACTAAGTTGGACAAATTTAGGACAGGAGTTGTTTTTAGTTTTTTTATTCATTTTGAACCTATTAGTATTATTATCCTTTCACTTTTAGCGAAAGTTTAAAAAAGAAAAGAAAGAAAAAAATGAAAATGTTGTAATATTCCAGATACTAACTAAACTAGTTGATAAGATGATTGGGAATTTGCTTGTCTTTCAATACAAATGTTTTGTTTTGTTGTGTTTGTAGGGTTTTGACGTCCATGATAAAGGCCTGGAGCTGATCTCAAATGTCGTGCGTACAATGCTCAGTATCGACTGCGCTGTCCTCATGGGGGCAAACATCGCCTCTGAAGTCGCTGGAGAAAACTATTGTGAAGCTACCATTGGTAATGTGTTGTAGAAGACTTACATGGTCTGTCCTTGCTATAATTTCCTCTTTTTGGAATATGATTTAGCAGTATAACTGAATCACGTAGCACAACACCAATCATTTTGATTAGATGCACTGGAAATGTTTCTGAAATATTTAGTGATTCAAATGTATTTTAATGCCATGTTTTATTTTACAGTGAATTGGACAATCTGATAAAAAAAGGTTTAAAGCATGCTGTAATTACTGAAAAAATGACATGTCATTTAAATGTGGTATTGCAAGAGTGTAAGGGTGCATTTAGATTTAGATTGATCCAGAGATTTAGATCGACCTAACTCCTTGAAGGTTCATGCTAAATTGCAGTCAGCCGAGCGCGCACCATAGTTAATTACCCCCTTACAGCTTTTAGTAGGCGGGACATTCGCTTAAGCCGCCTAAGCTGACAGTAATCTAGTGAGACTCCCCACAGGGATAGATTGATCTAAAATCTATGGGAATAGGGTCTTAGTTTCATTCAATATTCAGGCTTACTATGAGATTCTAAGGTATATTTAATGTGGAAAAATTACTTTCTTTTTCCTTCACATTGTTTGGCAACAATTATCTATTGAAGATAATCCTTGCAGTAGTGACATCTGTTTTGTCTTCATTTTTCAGGGTGTAAGAAGCCAGACTTTGGCAAGCTGCTAAAGAAGCTCTTCCAGACAGACTACTTCCGTATTGTGGTAGTAGAGGACGAGATTACAGTAGAGCTTTGTGGAGCACTGAAGGTGAGTGGGGAAAACCTTTCCCCCCCTCCACGGCCCCCTTCCCCCCCCCCCCCTCACCCCCTGATATCTCCCACATTTGGCTGCTGGCCTTTCAACAATTCAGTGATGAAGTAAAGAAAGTAAAAAGAGAATCACTGTTTTACATTTGGTGTTGTTTGCAGCCAAATTAGATTGTCATTTGTTGGAAAGATGTCTGATTGCTAGCGTTAGTATTGTGTGACAGTGTAATGGAAGTCCCCCAAGATGGCCTAAAACGAGGCTGTCAGGACTCTGTGATTCATTTGATATTAGAAAATGAGCCAGAATATGCTTGAGGTGAGTTTCATTCATTCATTTTGGTGAACAGCACTTGTTACTGTAACTTTATTTCTCCCCCCACTCTCTTCGAAATCTTGTGGAATCTGGTTTAAATCTTGGATGATTTAATGTCTATTGTTATTGTGTTTGTACAATATTGTGTTATGATGATGATAATATCACTATATAGGATATATATATATTTATCCCAATTAATATTAGGTAGTGTGCTTGTATATATCATTATATTTTTTCTGAAGAGATAAACTAATCAGACTGGGCTAAAACAAGTGGAAATTTTGTTATTTGATTTTGGCAATCTGTGTTTGTTTCGATGAAGAATGAATGGATTATCCTACATTCAAAATTAAGGCTTTGAAACTCGACTCCGCCGCAACTGTGTTTATATGTAATGATCTAACGCTGAAATATGTATTTGTAGATTTAAAAAAACTAACAAGAAAAAATTTACAGTTACTGTGACTGAGAATTTCTTTGAAAAAGCAAAAATACTTGAGTTCCTTGGAAGTTAGTTCTCAAGCAATTTTTGTCAGACAGGCAATAAAAAATCTTGATCCAAAGACTGAATTTGTTGTTCAAATTCTTAAGCTTCTGTCCGGCGGCAGGCAATTTGCAAAATAATGACTTTTTAATATTGATAGTAATTAATTTTGCTAAATGTTGCTGATATGTCTGATAATACATGTTTTGCATGTAGAGTAACATTTGAATGCCTGTGATGCTTGAAAAGCTCTGATCAGGATGATTTGATATCATATGTCAAGTCAGAGAAAATATTGTAGATAAACATGTAAAAATGCTTTAAAGTATTTGTCATGGTGGAAGTGAAAAGAAAAGACATTATGCTGATACTGTTATGAAACATGTTGAACAGAGATGGGAATTTTCCAATTTAAAGAATTGTAAGCATTAAGTGTTGAGTTTGTTCCAGGAGGTTGTTTGATTTTATTGGAATTGTTAAAAAGGGGTTTTTCAGGGGAAAAAAAGGTAAAATCGGGTGGGTAGGTGGGGGAGGTCCGTCCTTTTCATTTTCTCTTTTCCCATCCCTGTTATTGTCATACATCAGGTTTACATACAAATATTGTGTCTGTATTTTTATGTATGTATTGTATGTTTATCATTTGTCCTTCAGGAAGCACTTTCCACCATTTACCCCTTTAAAAATTGAATGATTGCACATTTTTTACTAGGAATTCAAGTATTTTTGATGATAAGTATTTTTGTAGATTTGAAGTTTAGGTTAGCAAGGTTGAGAAGTTTTAACCATTGCCAACCCTGTAACTACTGAAATTTTTTTCTGTTATTGCATTTTAGGATATCGTCGGCATTTCTGCAGATATTATTGATTGTGTATATAAAAAGCAGGTGCCTGAAGGTGAAAAACCCGACGAGATTTACTATAAAGAAAAAGGGACAGTGGATCATGTCTATCGTGTATGCATATTGTATATTTTTTTTATCCCTTGTGGTGTTGTCTTGCCTGTTTGAATGATCAGAAGACTGAAGCATTCAAGTTGTGTGTATTATAGAGTTTGATGCACTCAAGTGTTGCTTCTTACAATATATGTGTAGTTTGTAGTTTTGCATATAGGCTACATATATTAATTTTTTTGGCTGTATCTTGATGTTTTTGGCAGTAGATAAAATCAAAATTTGTTTCATTTAATTTTTTTAACCAGTTGCAGGTTTGTTTTTTAAAAACATATTAAAATAACTAAGTAAAACTCAAGATGGTATAACTATGGGTTGGTTATTATTGTAATGCAACCAAAATTTATTCATTTATTTGAAGAAAACGGTTCCCATCTGCATTATTTAATAACATGAAAATATACTTGCCTAAAGCAATATTTACTGTTTAGACTCAATTTTGATATTCATGCAAATTACAGGCATACACATTTTGGAATTAGAATGAGAATTTGAAATTGTTACTTAAATTTTATTCAGTTCACTTTTCAACTTTTTAAAAAGAAAGTCTGATCAAAGAGCAGGGAAGACTATCTATAGTTCACGTACCTTGCTAGGTTATATGATTTTTTTTCTCTTAGACCATTTTACATTTTTTTTAATGTATGAAAGTGTCTCAAATGTATTCTACAGCATATGATTTTAGGTTTTCTTATAAAAGGACAAAAAAGTGTAAAAAAAAAACCTTTGGTTGGATGAGGGGCTTCAGCATTATTAAACTTTGCCATGGAGGTCATTAAATTATATAATCATATTATAAGAGATTCTAAAACCAATGGGTCAAGGATTCTCAGAATTATTTGAGAAACTAACAATACTACAAGGACAATACTGCTTGTGATATATAACTGTATCTTTTCAGCACTTTCCTGACTGTTGCATAGCTTTTTGCATTCAAGGGTTTCTGTATTGTATACGTAGGCTGCAGAATCTGACTGATGGAGGTGAAAATACCATGATATAATGGAATTGCCAGCTTGTTGTTCAATTTGGGTGATTTACAGTATTCTGGTATTATATTTGTTGGGAGAAGGGGGGCTGCAAAGTGGTAACAAAATACCTGTAGTTTTACAACATAGGTATTGTTGTTTATAATATATATGTGACATAAATATGTTTGATTGTTATGATTTTCTAGAAAAATTTTTTTTGCACATCAATCATTGTTTACAAAAAAAGCAAGTTAAAAAAAGCAGAAAATATGGTATATGTCCAGTGAACTCAAACTTTAAGATTAATTCATCTTGTTTGGAATCATAGTATTAACACACACACACACACACACACACACACACACACACACACACACACACTGAGTAATGTGTAATATTAACAAAAAGTGAGTTTAAGTAGGGTTAACATCTCTTGCATTTTCTGTCAGTTTCTGCAGCTTCATGTATGAGGGCAACCAGCCACACCATAGCACATTATATCTTTAGCCAAGAAAGAGATTTTACATCAACAGTGAAATTGTATAGCATCCATCTTTATACAACCAGAAATAATCATTTTTGAATGAGCTAAATTGTTTCAGTGATGGGTTAAATTGAATAGTGTGCTAGAGTAAGTCGGGGGCTTTCTCTCACCTTGCATTCTTTTTACTAACTTTCATCCGAGGACATGGCTAGTACGATAGATGTGGATGGATCCTTCAGTTCTGACTATTTTGCAATCTCAATTTTTTTCAACTCTTTGGAAGTAGTATTTCCTTCATCTGCGAGTGCTGTGGTTTGAGCAATTTTTGTTTTATATTTAAAATGTGTTAATGTTAGGGTATGTAGTAGCCATTGAAATTGAAATGGACCAAGAGTGGAGATTTATTTACATTTGATATAGAGGAAAGTTGGCCTGAAACTATGTTTTTGCAATGAAGCAGGTATTTAAGTTTAGAGATGTTTGGCACTAATATGATATCCATCTACAGGCATCATTGCAAAGCATGACTAATCAAATTACATATTAAAAAAATGAATTCTTTCTAGCCATGTGCTGGGATAGACAGTTTCTGCAATGTTTATCACTTGAAAAAACCAGGATAACTTATTGTGAGGAATTGATATTTATGACCGTATTGCATTCCTGGTTCTAGCTGTGGAAAGTGCTTCCTGGTAATGCTGGTGTTACCATTTATATATATTCATGTACACGTTTCTTGCTTTTTGTCTTGCTTTATATTAACATAATTGTTGTTTTTTCCTTTATTGATTAGCCCTGCTTGTCACTGTTCATTGTTTGAGTTTTGTTATTTATTTATTTATTTATTTATTTATTTGCATGGATCTGATACCTGAAATAATGACTCATTGTGAGGTGCTTTCTTTTCCTAAAAAGTTCTTAGATCCATTTCAACATCTTTCTAATGTTTTCTCCTCAGAAGAGAGGTGCTTTAATATAAAAAATAAAATATTAAGCAATTTAACACAGGTCACTATGATAAAGGTTTTGGTTATATCTACCACATCCTTCACATGGACACTTGCCTCTACAGGGTATTGTATTGTTATGGAAGTGTCGGTGGCTGCATTCAGCCCTGCTCTAACTTAAACTGGAAATAGTTTTAATAACATCACCTTTGGGAGGTTCTGCTTAACAAGGTGCTGCATATTCTGTCAGACTTATTTCCAAGTTTAAGTAGTGTCAGCCTCTGAACATGGCATCTTATTATATAATATTGATTATGGATGTTAGATGCTGAGATAAGCAATATTCATTGGCCCCATGACCAACATTTGCTTCCCTTTGCTTTATCCTGGGAATAAGTGACAAGTTTGAGCAATGAATGTGGATTAAATGACCTTCTCTTAAACTTGAATATCCTTAGTCATTGATTGAGGACAAGTCTGGGATGGACACCAGAACTAATTTTAACATCTGTGTCTTAGTTGGAAAAGATTGATGGGCATGCCACTTTGTTTTTTCATTCCGTTACATCTTTTCTCTTTCATTTTATTTCAATTCTGTCCTCTCCAATTTAGTGAAAGACAGATAACGGCAAGTGCTATTGCTCTTCCCCCCCCCTCTTTTTTTTTTTTTTTTTTTTTTTTTGAAAATTAATCAAGAGGAAAGATGTTATGAAGGTTTGGAGGAACAACTAAAATTATGATTTGATTCATACCCCAATCTTTTTTCAGCCCCTTTTTAGACTTTGGTGCATGAAGCAGTGCTGCTTGTTGCTTTGCTATCTGTACTGTCTGTTTATGCATGTTCACATCAGGACCTTCTTAGTCTGAAAATAGACTACATCGTATCACTGGTAATGTAATGTAAATGCAATTTGGTCATTTTGTGATGTCATTCAGTCTATTTTCTGAACTAAGTTAGTCCTGATATGAGTAAAGGCTGGTATGTAAATCCCTGAATTTGGTACAGTAACTATTTTAGACACTTTCTTGTTAAAAACACACTGGGAAGTGCAAACTAGACAGTTACATGCTATTTGCTCACTTTGGAACAATTTGACAGCTTTGTGCTTATCAGAAAAGATAAAAACGCTGTCCTCTTCTTGAGGATAAAAAATTGATCAATTATAGAAATTATTAAAAGATACTACAGTGATTACTACAAACTGTAAACAGTCACCACTCTGCAGCACCCTGCCCTATAAAAGACTGCTCTTTAACTTGTGAACAGAATGTGTCATATTATTATACTATTTAATGAGTTTTTATTCCTTTATATTTCAGAATGTGACTGCTACGGGTGCCGGTTTTGTGGATGGTCTAGGTTATGGGGACAATACCAAAGCGGCTGTGATTCGTCTTGGACTCATGGAAATGGTGAAGTTCTGTGAGGAATTTTATCCAGGTATTGGAATTTTTTTAATAATTTCTTTATTGTTTAAGTATATACAGTAATTGTTTGCAACATTGAAACACCTACCTCATACAAAAGAAGAAAAGAATCAAAAACATTCAATAAGAACATTCAAGTCGTATGGTTTTAAAAACATTACTCCAACTTACTTTTGTATCGTCTTTGTCAGATCCATATTACTATTATTATTGATTTGGCAGTATTGGAAAAAGACATTAACCAAGCTGGTAAATAATTCAGTTGATTGTTTGGCTAAGGTGATGTGGTTGTAAAAGCAGTGTGATGTACATAGTAATTATTTAACCATAGGGTCCAAGATGTCCACCTTCCTGGAGAGCTGTGGTGTGGCTGACTTGGTGACCACATGTTACGGAGGCAGAAACAGAAGAGTGGCCGAAGCTTTCGTCAAGACAGGAAAGGTTAGTCATACATGCATGCAGGCTTACACACACACACACACACACACACACACACACACACACTGAATGAGTGAATGCAAACACACTATTTAATTTTCAGGCATAATTTTCTGAATATTTGGTCAACATATTATGATTTTACGGATATTGCCATACAGATCTTGTGGTCCTTTAGAAGTAGGTATTAAACCGACCTTATGTTTGTGGTTGACGTGATAGACTTCAGTTGAACCTGGCAGAAGGTTCAGATATGACAGGCAGGCATGTAAAAATATCTGAAATATAAATAAGCTTCGCCTCTGAAACTTGATCTAGATTTTGTTGACTAAATTACATTTTCACTCCTTGTATTATGTCAGTATTTCTCCATTGCAGTCCATACCAGAGCTGGAGAAGGAAATGTTGAATGGCCAGAGCTTACAGGGACCCCCCACAGCAGCCGAGATCAACATCATGCTGAAAGCCAAGAACATGGAAGATAGGTGAGGACTTTTTGTTCTTGTGAATTATCTCTCTCTCTTTCACACATATCAGGGATGAGATTTTTCTGACTATTGGTGGATTTTTTAACTCGACGCAGATCTGCAATTAATACTTAGCAGGGGAGGTCTTATTTTCATGCTTTTTCCCTAAATGGCAGTCTCATCCCTGACATATACACTGGTATAATTTCTTAGTGTTCTTTATATTTTAAAATTGACAAAAGCATTACACCTTTATGATGTGAATCTAGAACCCAGCATCCTAGCGTAAATGTAATGATTGTCAGGCTTTGCCAATTTGATGAATATGTTGGTTTTCCTTTTTCTCCAGGTTTCCTCTATTCACTGCCATCCACAGGATCTGTATAAGAGAACTGGAGCCACAGAAGTTCATAGACTGTTTGAAGAATCACCCAGAGCACATGTAGATAGACTATTAAGATTGCTGTTCTTTGACAACACATAGACTCAGTAGAATGTGTGCTCTTTCCTTCATTATTCCCCTGTCCCCTATTTTTTAAAATGTTTCTTGTGTGATATATTTTGTGAATCCTTAAATTCATTCAGTGGAAATTTCTGAGGAAGATGACCAGGTTTTGCTTTATACTTATTTTGAAGATTTATGCACTGACAATGCTTTTTTTTATCCTTCACCCTGTTAGAACTTAAATAAAGAAATCCGTTGATGGTAGCTTTTATTTTGCAATGCAATAGATGAATACAATTCACAAAAGAATTGACCATTGGAATGAACTTCTGGATTGTGATGAACAACTATTGCAGTGCCCTCAGTGTGCTGTTTTACCATACTAGAGCTAGAGCTATTGCAATGACAAATACTTTGAAAACCAGTTTTAATTACGAATGGGCTAGATAGCTGTATTATTAACTGAGTATGCCATATTAAGAGATAATATTATGTCAGTTATGAGACGGAACAGTGTCTGATTCCCATAGTTTGAAGGTGCTGATGACTTAAGAGGAGTAACTTTGGGCAGGACACGGTACTCACTGGCACGAACCACGTACGGGCTTTATTTGTAAAAACAAAAGTATTAACTAATAATTTTACTTCAAATGAAAATTGTACATAGTTGAGATATTTATCTTGATATAAATGTTATCGAAAAGAAGTTTATCGTTCCAATGAAACGTATGGTTGATGAAAACTTTACAAGTTTTCCAGAAGGCAGCGTTTACAAGATACATGACAACAAGTTCTTCATTTTTAGAAATAATATTGTGATTGCAATCAAAAATATACATATTTACGTTCTACATATTCTGCTTGTAATAAGACCAAGTTAAAATATTAAATGTTGAAAGGTGTTGTTATATTTGTGTCTTGGGAATTATTTACTTGTGCCTATTTTAATTTAGACACAATGCATATTTTTTTTCGAATGGAATATTTTGTGTATGGACTTGCACAATGGTAAAGGAGCATGAATCCCAGAAAGAAAAAAAGGGAAAGAGGCGTTTTCTTTTTGATTTGTCCGTTGTCGTTGGATTGATAGGTAAACTACGTCTAAGACGTTAACTCGAGACCGACCACACAATGGAGTAAAAGTTACCAAGCTGTTGCGTTCCTCTTGTATATCGTTTTTAAAGATGCAAATTTGGTTTGTTGACTTCCCGCATATGATCATTTTTTCAGCAGGGGTATTAATCTCATAACATGCGGAAAGGCTAACCCTTGCTTGAGGTATAAAGAAGCTATTTAAAAAGGGGAAATATGAAGAAAATCCCCTTTTAAGCGCTCTCGTACTCATTATAATAGGACCAATTTATGTCAAAAAACATTTGGCTAGTCTATGCGACAGTAGTCATAACAGAGGAACTGGAGTTTAGAATGGGACACCTTATATAGGGTTGATTTGTAGGACGAGAGTTAAGTCAACAAAACAAAACTTGCCGAGTCATAGAACTCGATACTTTGTAAACAATGAAATCCACTGTGAAGTTTGAAAGCTGTTAAAAGCCCCGTCGCTTATTGCATTGTCGCAGTCGCCATTTTGGAGTTGAGCAATCGTCAGGCTTTACAACATTCGTCTGGCAAAATTTGAGGATCTTTGATATCTCACTCAAAGTCCAGAAGGTGACAAAGCAGATAAGGTTAGTGTCTAAGAATAAATATTGCGTAAGATAAACCCGAGACCTAGGGCATGCGATAGCGAGCCTTTAGCTGCTCTAAATTGACGGGAAAATTTTATCGACTTTTAGAAATAGAGCAAAGTATTGTGGGTGGATTGCAAGTAGACAGCTCAGTTTTCTTTTATATGCTGAAAGTATATCAAAATCTTACTTATACCTAGTCTTTGTCATATGTGATATGCTAAAAATAAAATCACGCAGTATTGATCCGCAACTGACCTGGAAAGTTTGCTTAGGCTCACCTGACAGCTGCGCAAAAACATGGAAGTAGTGTGATCTCAAAATATAGAAAATATTCGATGGCAGAAATCGTATCTAGGTGAAACTAGGCCGGGCGGTTGCGCATATCAAAGAAAAGATATGAATGTGCATATGTTTGTTGAAATCAATTTATATGTAGTACATATGCATTTACGTCGGTTGCAGAAACCACGGAGAGAGTTTATAACAAACAGTATAGATTTTCCGACTCTACACTGACGTCTACTCAATTTTTGAAGCAAATTCATCGTTTTTGTTAATTCTTTTGAAGAAGAAACTTTTCTTTAGATCCTTGGGACCGGAGGAAAAAAGACTAGTTTATCGAATAAATTTCTCCCTTTTTTTGAGTCTCGGACGACAGCGGTAAATGACCTAAACACAACGCCGAAAAAAAAGAACTTATTTTTAGCCTAATTAAAAATGACATGCAGCATATATTGTACTTCTATCATCCCGAATTACCCATAGAAAATCCAATACTTCTCCTCGTCTTTTGATTTAAACTTTTCAAAGAAGTAATATATCTAGTCGTTTGGCGACGTATTTTGCTGATCAAAATTGGTTTACATTGAAGCCGCAATTGGTTTTAGCTGATATAAGCATCGCATAGATGGATTCTACTACTGCTTTCAGACAAATGGAACTTATTTCTATTGATGTCACTCTTATACTTCATACAGATGCCTAAAGCAGCAGTACTGCTGATTCTCGGTCTGTTCGTCCTGGGTATCCAGGCAGACGACCGCCGCCATCATGGTGGGTCAGCGCACCCAGAACCGACCTCCACTGGTCACCATGATTACAAAGATTATCAAGAGAAAAGACACCATGAAATGGATAAAGACGGTGAGTATCGGATTTTATTTGTAAGATTTGATTATCAAAAGGCACAGTTTGTGAAAATATTGGTGCGGGAAAGAAACTGGAGAACATTTCCGTGTCCTCAACTGATTGTTACTCTTTGTCAACCATCACACTTTTTAATAATTAGAGACCAAATAGTCTAAAACGAACGATTTTTTGTTGAAAATGCTGTTTATTTATTTGGATGTGGCGTTAATTACGGGACTGACTTATTTTTCACGCCACTGAAAATTTTTAGTTTTGAGTTTGTATCACTGAATGAAACGAATAAATTAATTAACCATTATTGTCATCAATGCAGGCTATCTGAAATACAAGATATGATATCAAATTTATTCACCCATTTCGAAAAAAAAAAAAAAACAGCATTAACTGGGTCTTTTTTTGGATAACTTTTGTTCCGGACTTTCTTTTCTTAAAAACATCATAAGTATCTCCTGCTCTAGATATTTCTATGGTATTGCGTTGCGAAATTTTATCTCAAGAACTGTTATGCATTTTTCTTTAAAGATGATAAGGACGACGACAAGTGGAATTTCTCCTCGTACAAGCGCTTCCACTCGGCCTGGAAGATAACGGCCATAGTCCTCGGTGTAGTGCTCGTAGTGGGAGTTTTTGCCGTGTCTGTGGCCTGCTGCATCGTGTGTAGATGCAAGCAGCGTTTCTGCACCACTTCCTACCGCAGCTCCTGTGGCGTGCCTCCAAGTGAGAAATACAAGACACCTTCTGGTACGTATTAAAACCTTGGTGTTGCGTATTACGAACGTTTTTATTTATTTATTTATTTATTTATTTATTTATTTATTTATTTTTTAATGACGGGTTAATAGTGTGTGAACATGACAGAGATATGCGAAGCTTCTGGTATGTTCCGGGGGAATGTTATGGCATGGCTTATGACGAATAGAAAATTAATTTTGAAAATCATTGGTTAACTATGATTGAATATGTTCAGAATTATGCGACAACTTCTGGTATATTCTGAGAGCCTAATGTGGGTTATTTATAGAACAGAAATGCACTGTTATATACTGAGCGTGCCGTGTGGCTGCTTTTTACTTGACATTTTGTAACAATCAGTGCATGTATGATAATACACGAAAAGGCTAACACCGTCTAAATTTATGCTGAGAATTATGTATAGGAAGTTTGTGACTGAAAGTTTTAGAAAGATAACAAAAAAGATCAATGTGCAGTTACAGAAATGCGATATGTTTTCTTTGCGCGTTGATATTTTAATTGATATTTTAAGTTTACTTTGACCGTTATTTCTATGTGCCATATATAAATACAGACTGCTCTCTCTCTCTCTTTCTCTTTCAAATAACATTGATAATTAAACTGAGTGTTACATTTCAGGCATGGAAAAAGCCGTAGAGGCCGGAGTGTATGCACCTCCCGCATACGACGAGGCAGTGCAACAGGCGGATGAAGTGAAGAAATTCTGAACGTCGTCATCACGAACTAACGCTTGTAGATAACATAGCTCGTACAGCTGTCTGCATTTTATGCTTTTATGTTAAACGGTACACTGTGATATTGACTATAAGTAACAGGGACTTATTATTCACCATTTTACGTCGTGTGTTAGAGACAAAAGTTGGAACCGTCCTATTGTTTTACCAAGCAAGAATCCACCTCAAGCCGCCACGGTATGCACGGACGCTGTTGGCTTCCTTCCACGGACGTAAAAAGATTGACCCACCTTTGCCAATTCCTGCGACGCAGACAAAAATGATCGGAAATTGTAGTTTTGCTGGAACAGTGAAACTGAAAAATGTAGCGAAACCATCTCTCGATAAGCGCAAATGGATCGCCCTTAATCCAAATTTAACCAGTATCTGAGCTTTATGAAAACACAGCCTTAAAAAGTTTTTTCGTGATAATCTTAAATGACTGTTTTAATTAGTATTAAATTATTTTGAATATTTAAAAACAGATCAAAACTGTGCACTTTAAAACGAAAAATATGTCTTTGTAAGACACAAAAGCTGTTTGTCGTTCTTGTTTTAATGTATTTTCTAAATAGATTTTCTACTCTTTGGTTCGTATTTTTAACAGATGTGTGCAGCCCTTAAGAGGGTTTAGAGTACAGTCATTATTTTTGAGCCATACTATTAATAATCACGGGCAGCAAGAGGATTTTAGGAGAATTCTTCACCTCTTGTTGCTGTTTATTCTGAGTGGCTAGCGTACCCATGATAATAATTTTATCTACATGTATAATATGCGGAAATAAAGTGGTGTTTTTCTGTTTACAGCATGTCTTTGTTGTTATTACTACAGTATTTCATATCGCTGTAAGTCTGTACGTTTGGAAAAAACATACTTTCTTGAGTCTTCGAAAATGTTCCTCTGGTCCCACTGGTCAAATAAGCAGGAAAATCAACCATTTTGAAAGCCGTCTGAGCCGCTCCCAAAACGTAGATTCGTCATATTTTCTCCACAATATTTCACTAAATAGTCATATAGATATGTCGCTGGCTAATTCATGATCTCTGCGTAAAAGAAAAGTGCACATTATCTGGTAGGGAGTATTTCCCCAAGGATTCTGCGCCTGACCTGGACTTGGATAAGCGCATGGGAAAATACATCGGCACACTTTATCACAATCCAGTCAATGAGATACTAATACTTTATTTCAAACTTAGGCATCATGGAAGAACTGATGAAAATGTACATTAAACATAAACAAGCTAGCACTTTGACAGCTCTGCATGTGCTTATATACAAATCTACTAAAACCACTTCACAATAAGTTGCTATATACAGATAATTCAGTTTTCCCGTGTATTACTAAGCGAGAACACAGCACCGTCTCTTTTTTCTAAGGAGTTATGAAGAAACTTTGCTGATGAGATGACCACTGCCCAATTTGTGTTATCCATTATGTATTTGCATGTGACTTTGTTGCAGTCAGTCAAAAATTGTGCATGTAATAGATACAGCGTGGATAGTTGGCCTCTTTGCAATCCCACAAATTGAAATGTGTGCACTGTTTGTTTGGAAATTATATTAGATATATTAGATATTTAAGGCGTCAACACCATTCAAAGTTGATCAATAATCCGCTTCATTTCTTTTTATTAATGGAATATTCATTGAATGCAGCCGTCATCGGCCAAATTTCAAACAGCATGCTTGAGTTTGTTCTACTTTTTAAACTAGCACGTCTTATTACTTAAATCGGCTTATTACTTAGATCAAAGAGACAAAAAGATACAGCGTGGAAATACTCTGACAAGCACTCGAACGATATACAGGAGATTTGAATTGTCCGCTCTTGTCACGCTATCTAAACACAGGTGAGTCGTCAAACAAATGCAGGCGATAGGATTCGTTGTCGCGCGGCCTATATATTGATTGTTTACATAAAGGCCGCCATTTTAAGTAGTTGATCGATGATTTCACAATACAGACTGACATGGTTAGTAATATATAGTATTGTGATATTCACCACCACCTGTTACTTGTATTGGCAGTAAGAGAAAAAGTAAAAGAAGGAGGCAGGAACAGGTGAGATGCATCACTACCTTAGACTAGATTTAGGGGGCTTTTATTTTAGAATTTCAAATTAGAATGGGGCTGGTCCTCCATAGATATAATGCAGGGAGGCTGCATCTTTAGTACGCCGGGTACGTCCTTATGTACAATAGGCAGTCAGAGGCAAGACTTTGGAAGATGGATACCTCATTCGGAATTTGTGCATGCCCCTTGCACGAATACGTTCTCATTCTTCTGAAATTTTTCTCACTCTAAGCGGGTATGTGTGTTTGTGCACGTGAGGACTACAGGAAATCGCCATTACCGTCACGTAATTTATAACGGTGACAATTAAGCAGATAGTTGATTACACTGCCTGAAAATGACCCAGCTTGGCCCTGACTGGGGGAGGGGGGGGGGCATCGTGTATTTCGCAACACAATGCGCCATATAGTTGTTTATTCTGTTGATTCTGTATAAGCGATACGTAATAAAAGTGTAAAAGGCGTGGTTGATAATATATATGGCTCAGCAGTGTTTGTTTGGATTACCGTCTACTGTGACACGCAGTGAACACTGGGTAACTAAGACACGCGCTTGATTTAGTAAGTCTACATCGATGTACACACATGCACTGTGTGTGTGTGTGTGTGTGTGTGTGTGTTTGTGTGTGTGTGTGAGAGAGAGAGAGAGAGAGAGAGAGAGAGAAAGAGAGAGAAGAAGAGAGAGAGGGAAAGGGAAAGAAAGAGTTGGGGAGGAGGGGAGAGAGAGAGATGAAGGGAGTGAGAAAGGGAAGGGGGAAGGAGAGAGAGAGAGAGAGAGAGAGAGAGAAAGAGAGACCGTATGCATTGTTGCTAAGGTCATTCAGTACATGACCCATCAGTGACAAAAAGACGCACGGACTCAGCAGGACTGTGTTTTGCACGTCTTTATAAATCCGATCCAAATAACTCTACCAATTTACTGATGGCTTCCATGGGAAACTTGTCACCAGTTATTATAACGTGTTGCTCTAAAATGACGTAATTGTGAATCAATTTCAGGTCAAGGAAATATATATACCTTTGTGAGGTGATAATGATGTCTGACACCAGCCTATATGTGTGCATATTAGCTTGGATGTGTGGTGTATTGCTGCACGGAGCTCATGGCTCTACTTGTAAGTATATCAACAACCGAACGCTAGGTGACAGACGTCCTGCCTGATATCTCGTTTGGGACATCCCACAAAAACTTGACATTTGAGGCACGTCAGTGTGACACACCTTTTTATGAAATATTTGCTTAGCTTATATATATAGCTTTTTAATATTTTTGTTGTTGTGTTTTGGAGGGGACTATAGTAATAAACGGAGAAAAAATGACACAAGTCAAATTTACGCAAATATTTTACAAAATATGTGCATCACTGGCGTGGCTCAAATGTTCACTGTTATGAGGTATGACCCATTTATTTCACATATCGGGAGGGGAAGAAAAAATACGCCTCTATCTTAAGTTTATGTAGAGTTTTTGATTTATCAGAATCATATTTCGGCGTGATTCATTTCATCCATTCGTGTATTTTTCGATCTTTCTATGTATTACAAACATTAAAAATATATAGAATTGCCTTGAAGCGCCTGTGATTTGCAAAGATTTTACGTCTAAATGAAAGCTCTCAACGAATTTGTGCGTGACGCACGTAAGGGCACAATATTTTGGCTTCTAATTGCACTTTACGCCATTTCATCAGAAGTGCTAAGCGTGGTTTTATAGTACCAAATCTGTTGATTATTCTATTTGTTTTATTCAGATTACACGGAAAATTCGTATGACTGCGGTAAAACGCACGATGTGTATACTAGCACAACAAAGCTGCAGGCTTGGAAACCCTCTTTATTGAAGTGAGTATTAAGTTACATATATTTTCTTCTACTCAAAGGGCGTATATAAACTTGGGACGTGAATTATCTGACACTAACAAGACACGCGCATTTCACGGGGTACGGTAAATCAGGCATACGTAGTTCTCAAAAGGGCTGTATCCCGAAAATGGGTCCCAGTTCAGTTTCGAAAATGCGTAACAATTTACTAACGTTCTGCAAAAATAAAATGTGCATCTCTTGCTCTAAATCTGGCGCAGCGTTCCTTTTTATTGTTCGACTTCTGATTTGTAGTTTGGGTTAGAATTGTCTCATATTTTGGTCTAAAAGGTAAGATCAGTATTCGAACTAGCATTTTTATGAAACGAGGACTTTTCCTGTATCGATGATTCCGTACACTTATCAAATTGACAATGATGCTCACTTTTCTGTCCACAAAGTCAATGATGTCCAAAACGTAAATTGATACCGTATTTTTATTTTGTAGGAGCAGCCCTCCATCCAGATGCGTCATGTATTTTGACAGCGGCAAAGATGAGGTTGCCGTTAGGGTGGAATTCACATCGGTTCGTTTACCCTGCTCCACTCCCGTCACTTTAAGTGTCTATGATTGGCGTAGCACACATCCCGACAAGGTGATTAGTACTTCTTCTGTTATTTAGATCTATTTTAAATACTATAAAGTAGAATATGCCAACAGTTTAGGTGAAATAATATGATATGTTTTATAATAATATAATTTTATTATCAGTGTGAAATCCATTTAAAATATTTAAAATACTCGTTAGACTCTACATAAAAACAAGTACTTAAGAACACAATAACCAAGATATATATATATATATATATATATATATATATATATATATATATATATATATATATATTCTTAAATTAAAATGCTCTTTTGTAACTAAATAATTTATGCAAAGTTACGCAATAATTTATCACTGACATTACAATTTTTATCACTGACATAGATGCTCAATGGTCCATCGAAATATTTCATATGAGTGATAAAAGTTTGATAAGAAAAGGTGACTACAGAGCGTTTTCATTACTATCTGTTAATTTACTACAAAAGTTGCTTTATTGTTTACAGAAATAAGTGGCCTACTTTCCCATGTTGTATCCTGCAGTATTTAATGTCTGTCGATCTTGCAACTGTTCTCACGTAAATAAAAATCATCGATAAAGACAACTTATCTTACCTAATTCTTCTTTCAGCTTTTAAAATCATTGTCCTGTACCCCTGACAAACCCGATGACATATACTCCGAGAGTCGCTACTTGACAGTTGAGCTCAACGCCACAGTGAACAGCACCGACTATGACTTCGACATGGAACTTTGGATGAAAGTTGCGCCAGGTGACGACCACGACCGCGGTAAGTAAAGGCCCACACACACGTTCAGCTATTACCTGAGCCACTTAGTACCAGCGTTGCGAGATTTTTCGCGTAACTTTGCATACTTTTTAAATTTTTTTTATTTCATTTTATTATTTTTTTTACTTATTGCAAAATTGTAATGACTAAGTTAGGGAGATGCACATGTAACTAAGCTAAATGCATTGGCAGGTTTTTAGGAAATAGCTGGAGGGGGGGGGGGCTGCGGAAAATGATGCATGGTCTTTGTTATCAGTGTGTATTCCCTGTTAGTCTTGGAGAATGAAATTTGGCAAATATGCAACAAAAGTTGCTGTTATAATTAAATTTGTCAAATATTATGTACGTGGTAGTTCACCATGGATTTGATCGACCTAGCTAATGCGAACTAACACCACGGGGACTCTCGCTGAATGCAATCACATTAACAGACAGCCCCAACATTGAAGGGTTTGTGAGCAAACGTGGTTCCTAAGCTGTCGCAGGCTGACCAGCTCTAAGGCCACATATAGATATCCCACTAGATACTCACAGATATGTCTCTGTCTAAGGGTCTATTCCCACAACTTTAGATCGATCTATCACCGCGGGGAGTCTCACTAGATTACTGTCAGATAATCCCCCTTAAGTGTCCGTCCCCGCCTACTACAAGCTTTAAGGGGTAATTAACTTTCGTGTCCGCCCGGCTGACAGCTATTTAGCGTGAACCCCCAGGGAGTTAGGTCGATCCAATGTAGGTCGATCTAATCTATGAGAATGGGGTGAAATTCTTTACATTTTTATGTACAGACACAGATGTCGACCACGATGTGTCTGTACATATTGCCATCACCTGCGTCTGTCGTCGCCGTCGCCGATCATGTCGCCGTCGCCGTGCACTTTCAGCGTTAACACCATAAGTGGAAGACAGTTTTACTTTTTGGCTTTATATTTACAGAGTTGATGAATATTCATAAAACACAGGTCAAGTTCGAAAATCGGCATGATCGGGCCACTATTTTAGTAGTTATGCTGTTTTTCACTTTTCAGCATATATATGCAACACTGTTAACACATTTCAAGGAAAACCCATAGGCCTGTTGTCATGAAACTCACAGGAGTAATCAATCTTACTAAAACGCAGGTCAAGCTCGAAAATCAGCATAATCGGACCATTATTTTATAAGTTATGCCGTTTTTTCACATTTCCTCAGATTCAATTCTTAGGCATGTTAACAGTCTCATTATTTAATTTTAATTAAATTTATTAAAATAAGATACATAAAAGTGTTTGTTTGACATTTCCTGCATCTTTACAACATTGTTAGTTGATTACGTAAAAATGATGGTAAACTTGTAATCGTGTATTGTGTAATAAGGTGTCAAAAATGGAAATAAACTCATATCATTGCAGTTTGTAAGATTCAATCATTCACTATGTTCAGAAACTCAGAATGGAGAAAATTGGACATTTGACACTGTTCTATTGATATTTTTCACATCTCATCAATTTTCTTAGTTGATCATATAAAAATGGCAGTAAACT